GAATCATCATCATTCTGAACTCCAGAGCTGACCTATTACCAATGTTCGTATTGATTAGGTCCCTAGCCTTCGGTACTGCCTCTTGTTCTTTTTTTTTGGTGAGTTTTTCCGCCTTGTCATTTTATCCAGACAAGAATATATGAAGGAGCGAGTGAAATACTAAAAGGGTGGCAAAGACCCCAGGAAAATGTGCTTTGACCAAATCAGAAGAGACCCCAAATCATGGGGGGAAGAAAGGACGTAAAAAGAAGTTCAGAAAAAAAAAATTTTTTTAAATAAAAAAAATATATATAAAAATGAAAATATATATATGAGACTGGTGAATAGAACAGGGTCACCCACTTAATTTTGGAAGTATTTTGGTCTCTTAGAAGAAACTAGGGAGGTGACTACTTCTTCTAAAGGATGTCAAAGTCGAACACTCGGTCAGGCAACTCTCTTGAGTCAGCAGCTCTGGTGGGTGCACGTTTGGTCAACAAATGAGGGTTATTTTTGTCCAGTATCCACTCAGTTGTTCCACAGAATTAGGCTCATCTCAGATTAGTAATGACAGAATTTACTCACAGAATTTACTCACGAGCAATGACTTGTGACTCCCATCATTTTGATCTATTAATTAATGAGGACTAGGAATGTTATAAATTTTTTTGCTATCATTTGAATGTGAATGTGTGTAACATTTTACACACTATTTTATTTTATTTTATCTTATTTTATTTGGGGAATAGTCCTGGGTATCAGTGTTCATATTTTTATATGGCTTGTCCCCAGGTCATTGTTTGTTCTGGTGCATGAGATCAGCTTGGCAGACATTTGTCGATATGTTCTCTGCACAAAATGCCTGGTGCCAGGCCCTGAGGCAGAGGTGGGAGGTGAATGAGCCTGGACACCTGCTGTACAGGATACCATGGTGGTGTGGGGAGTGTCTAGTAAGTAACTGGTGATAACATCAGGTAAAATGAAAGATATTCTGTAACAGAGGTAGAAGGCCACATCAGCCGAGCACAGGGTGAGACCTGCCAGGGACGGCTTCTGGATCATCTCCGACAACAGCCAGAGGCCGTGCACATGTGGGTTTCTGTAAAGCAGTCCAGCTTGGCACCGAGCTCCTACTCCGCTTGAGGCCATGAAGAACTAGAGGACCTGTCACGCTTCCTTCGGGTTTAGCTTTACTTGCTCCTGAGTGAGACCCAGGGCCTCCATCGAGAACTCTGCTGCGTGGTGTGGCTTTGAAGCACAGAAGGATCTTGTCCCATTCTGTTGTTAGCAAAATGGCAGGGACGTGCCCACAGACTTCTGATGCTGTGGAGATAGAGGACGGGTGCAAGAGAGGTCCTGATGAGAAGTCGTGAAGAGGTCCAAGTAGCCTCCTGAAGCCCAGGGAAGAAGAGGCCCGCCTGGATGAAGGAACGACTGTGGCAGCCCCACTCTGAGCCAGCAGCCACCTCCTCCCTCCCCTGCCCAAGCTGGCAGGGCTGCACCTCAGTAGCTAGGCTGCGGCAGAGGGTTCCATGAAAAATCTGTGTGGAAAAATCTCTGGCCCTTTTTTTAGTGGATTACGCTGCTTTCTCTTTCCTCCAGTGCCTCATTATTCAAGATTATTCAATGTTCTCCAGCTTTTAAAATAATCATTTTCCGCCTACACAGTACATCCTGTAGAGACATTGAGTTTCCAGTGGGAACAGAGGGGAACACTTCATTCTAAAAATGAAGAAAATAAGCCTCTTTTTATTGGGGGTTGGGGGACAGAGAGTGTTACAGACCTTACATAACAATATGAGAATTCACTTGTGGTGCCTAAGCTAAAAAAGGATAATGAAACTGTGGTATATAGGCTTATTGCTGTCCCCAGACCCTTCCCTGTGGTCTCCAGACCCTCTTCCTCCACCCTCCTTTATGGTGGTAGTATTTTTATTTAAACACACACACACACACACACACACACAGATACATTGGTAAATAAAAAAATCATAAGAAATACATGCGTAGGATCTACACAAGAAAACACGTGAACACCTGCTCAAGAGATAGAGCATTGTGGGGTTTGTCACTTTTAAAGCTCTTAGGTGCTTCTTCCCTAAACTATCCATTTCCCTTCTCCCTTAGAGGCAACCACTATCTTACATTTTATGATTGTTTTTTTTTAATTTTTATTTATTTATTTGACAGACAGAGATCACAAGTAGGCAGAGAGACAGGCAGAGAGAGAGAGGGAAGCAGGCTCCCCGCCGAGCAAAGAGCCCGATGTGAGGCTCAATCCCAGAACTCTGGGATCATGACCTGAGCCGAAGGCAGAGGCTTTAACCCACTGAGCCACCCAGGCGCCCCTGATTGTTATTTCTTTTTAATATAGCTTTACCACCCATATTTGTAGCCCTAAAAAAATTGTTCAGTTTGCAAGTTTTAAATTTTACATAAATGGAATCATACTGTAAGGGTTTTTTTGGGGGGGGTGGTGTATGTGTGTATGTATGCATGTAGATATATATGTAAATGTATTATATATATCACATACACACACATTGTGTTCCTAGGATTCATCCGTCTTACTACATATAGCTCTGGTTTCCTCTCCCTGTGTAGTAGATTCCACTTGGTAACCATTACTGCACATTTGTTCATTCATTCTGCCATTGAAGGACATTTGGACTAATAGGGCCTCATCCGTGCTCTCTTCATACGCCATCTGAGGATGCTCTTGGCCCTTAGAGATTCAAGAGCTTGAAACACTGGTTGGGAAGCTTGGCTGTGGATATATACTCAGCAGAGCTGCTTCTGGGTCATAAGATGATGAATTGTTTTTCAAAGGGGTTGGATAAATGTAGCCATTGTTGGTCCCTCCAACAGTGTATAGAAGTCGCATTTGTTCGCTTCCTCTCCAACATTTGAACCTGTGGGACTTTATACCAGTTTGGTGTTTGTGAAATGGTAGCTAATGGTGGTTTTATTTGCATCTCCCTGATTACCCTAAATTTATTTCCTCTTCCATTAAGTGCCTCTTCTAGTTTTTTGCCCATTTTTCTCTTGGGTTCTTGGTCTTTTTGAACTGATTTGAGGAGTTGTTCATATATTCCAGATAATAATCAGCTACATGAAAACATCTTCCACCAGTTTAGGACTTACCCATTTTCTTCTTCTTCTTCTTCTTTTTAAACAAATACTTGTTTCATGAACAGAAATTCTTAGATTTAACATAGGCAGATTTTATGAATTGTTCTTTACAGATTGGCTTTTAAAATAACTCTGGGATAATTGAAGACATAGTCTTATATTGTCTCCTAAAATGTTCATACATAAATCCCTAGTCCTCTTGAAATTCATCTTTGGTGCATGGTATTAGATTCATGGTCTTCATGTAGGTATCAGATTGTGCCACAATTCATTGTTATTGTCAGCACATTTGGATTTAACAAGTATTATTTGCTCATAGTTCTTTCCCTTGGATCATTCGTGGTCTGCCTGAAGAACAACCTTTACTAAGATCTTGAGTGGCCAGCTGCGTTTTATTTTGTTTAATTCATCCTTATATTGAAAAGTGGTTTTTGCTGGGTTTAAAATTCCAGATTGACAGTTACTTTTTCTTAATGCATCAAAGATGTTGTTCTATCATTTTTGCCTTCAGTGTTACTGCTGAAAACCCAGCTATCAATCTTATATTTTATTACTTGGTGGGGAATCTCTCTTTTGTTTCTGCATGCTTTTAAGATCTTTCTTTAATGTCCTGCCATATCTCTGTGTGCCAAGTGTGGGTTTTGTTGGGCTTCCTAGAACTGAGGTTTGGTGTCTTCCATCACTTCTCGAATAGTCTCAGTTATTTTTGTCTTTGAAGTCTGTAAATATCATCTCCCCCTGCCCTCTCTCCCTTCTGGAACTTGAGTTACATATTTATTATCCTCCATGTTGCATAAGTCACTTCTGTAGTTTTCTTCTCTTTGTCTCTGCACTGCATTCTGGATAATTTCTTCAGATCTACCTACCAGTTATTATCTTGGCAACTTGGTCTCATCTGTCATGAAGTCGGTCTTGATTTTTAATTTCAATTATTACATTTTTCATTTTTAGAAATTTGGTTTCTTTTGGACATCTTGATCATTTCTGATAGTCTCTTGCTGCTTATTCATTGTTTAATCCCTCTTAAGCATACTGAACATACTTACTTTCCAGTCTCTGAACCTTTGCAGAGGTCGTGTGGTTTCTTCTGGATTCTAATTCTTGGCGCATTCTTTGTGTGTTTTGTAATTTTTTGACTGCTGGCTCCTGGTATTTTATCTGTGGGGGATAATTTGAAGACTGGACTGAAACTGAACTTCTCCACAGAGAATTTGCATTTGATTCTATCAGGGACCTGGAGGAACAGTCAGCCCTGGAATCAGGGTTAAACTAAAATCTCCATACAAGGTTTTAGGCAGCACTTAGCCGGAATCCTGGCTGCAAAAGCATGTGAGGACCGGCTCATGGTTGCAGGTTCTCAGGGCTGTGGGTTTTTTTTTTTCCTTACCCCCAACACCCAGGCTGGAGGTGGGTAGGCAGTTCGGCTCCCTTCCCTGGGGTTTCCTCTCTTTTTGCCTGCGGGTACAGCCCCTGGCGTCTCAGCTACACGTCCTGGGGAAGTGGTCTCCTATTAGACTCCCCATTTCAAACCGTTACTACATTTTTGTTTTTCATTCCCCATACCTCAGGGGCTGCAAAAACTAGCGTTCGTGATCACTGAGGTTCCTCTGGGCCTTTGCGTGACACTGGCTTCAGGGCTCGCCGTACTTCTCCAGCTTCCTGCTTTGCCTCAGGGTGTGATCTTTGGGCAAAGTTTTCCTTTACCTTTGGGCAATGTTTTTGTGGCATTTTGAAAGATCAGTTGCATTTAGTCGTTATTTGTGTTTTCAGCAAGAGGTACACTACAGGCATCGTGGCTCATCTGTTGTCTCTAGCTCTGGGGTTCGGTGCTTCGGGCTGTGAAGGGGTGTTGGTGGGGTGCTGTTCCTGACCGGCTCTTTCTCTTCCAGCACTCCGAGAAATGCTGCAGAACCACTCCTTTGTGGGCTGCGTGAATCCGCAGTGGGCCTTGGCACAGCATCAGACCAAGTTATACCTTCTCAACACCACCAAACTGAGGTAAACTAGTGAGCGCCTGACACGGCAGTGCTGCCCCAACAATGGTCTGGAGGCGCAGGCGTGAAAAGCCAGGGATAGGGACCTGAGTTGTTTGGAAAGACAGAGATGGTTTCCAATCCAGGCTCAACCACTTACCATTTGTGTACCGTGGGCAAGGTACTTTCCTGAACTGTGTCTCAGATTTCTCATCTGCAAATTTGGAAATCACTGGTTAACTTGCAGGGTTTTGTGAGGTGAAGAAATGACACGAAAAGCCTGATGTTTGGCAAGTTCTTGGTCCTCAGTATGTGTTGACCACTGTGGTGGAACCACTGGTCGAGGGCTTAGTGCCGGTAGAGAATTCTAGCACCTTCTGTGTGCAGCGGGGTACTGTGAGAAAGAAGACCCATAGGGAATGTCGCCAAGGCTTACTCTCACCACCACACAAGCCAGCGGGATTGACAAGCCATGCCATTTGCCCAGTATGTAGCCAGTGAGCTATTGACTTTTTCCAGAGACCTTGGTGGATGAGCTCCTAAGGAGTCTAGAAGCTGTATCAGATGTGTTCTCAGTTAGGTACAGATGGGAGGGCGCTGCTGCCCTGTACCTACTAGACATTGCCTGGCCACTGCGGGGCCCTTTCCCACAAGCCCGTGAGCAAGGCAGCTGCCATATGTTACTTGGAGGTACACACAAGATAAGAACTAATTTCCTCCCTTACAAAAAAACTGCCCAGCCCAGAGCTGACTGTGGCACGCACACCCCTATGGATATTCAGAACTCACGCCTTTGGGGCTGTTTTTGGTGCAGCTCTGTTCAAGATCCTTTGTCTTCGCTTTGAGAATCCTTTGACTTATGCATGGGGCTCTTATTAATGTGTTGGGAATTCTGCTGCCCTTGTTCCTTCTTTTCCATCATGTGTAAGTACATTTCCAAGGTTCCAAACACATTGTGTTCAGATTCTTTCATTTTACAAACAGAAAGCCAGGTTAGTCCAAGAATTGCAGCTATTAATAAATGTGAATAGTTTCCCAGTGAGAAGTTAAAAGAAACAGATTGAAAACCAGGTTCAGAGTAAAGAACCTGGATTCAACATCTTCCTTTTCCACCTTATTAACTCTGACCCGGGACAAGTCAGGTACTCACTGGGTGCCTCACTTCCCACCCTCATAACGCAGGTGTAGCAGAAGCCTTGTCTGCTTTGACTGATAACGAGAAGTCTTTAAACAGACCTATATGGTTCCGACTGCTTAAGAACTCTAAAGGACCATTTATTTGAGGTCCGTGTTGGGTAAGGAGGTCAGTGTGCTGGATACCTCCCAGCTGGCTCTGCAGTGCTGCCAGCCAGTGCATCACCTTACACCAAACGCCCAGGTGGTCTGATTCGGCCTTGTCTCCGCTTGGGATTATTTAGCAAGTCTCCTGCCGTCCCTATGCACTCCATACCATTTTTAAAGGTGAGTTGTTAAAAAAAAAAAAAAAAAGTGATTTATAGGATTCTTTGTAAGTGGGGAAGAAGTAAGCAAAATTTCTTAGCGCTCTCAGCCGCGTGTGGAGGCCCGCGAGCCAGAGCCCTGACTGGAGCACACAGCGGGTCCGGCTCCTTAGAGTAGAGGGACATCTTGTAGATGGTCAGGAAGGCTCCACAGCGCCTCCCATCTGTGTTGCAGGGGTTCTTTCTCCCGTTTGTCCTGACTGCTTAGCTGTCAAGCATGGATTCAGCATTTCTTTAAAGTTACTTCATTTTTATTTTCAGTGAAGAACTGTTCTACCAGATACTCATTTATGATTTTGCCAATTTTGGTGTTCTCAGGCTCTCGGTAAGTTTACTTCCTGCTTCTCCCTTCTGAAACTTCCAACACCTGGTCATATCTGAAAATAATAGCTCTACCCCAATATCTGATTTGTAGTATATTGGGTTTTTCTAAATATGCCAAAGATAGTGTCTGTATTGTATGATTTGTATATGGAAGGATCTTTAGTTATAACAGTTTTATACGAAGCTGAACAGTTATTTGGTAGACCGCTTAAACAAAGGTTTATTATTATGTTGGTTAATACACACCTACTTAAGAAAACTTGTAAAGAGATAAAAAGAGAAATAAACATTTCCTAAAGCCTATGACCCAAATACAACCAACCCCAGCTGACAGAATTAGGTCATTTCTTCCGAGACCTTTTCATTGCTTAATTTTAATTTAGAATTAAAATCAGACTATTTATGTAGTTTCATATCATCGTTGTACAGCTGATGTAACTCTACAAAAAAACCAACTGGTATTTTCATTGGGATTGTCTTGAATCTATAGAACAATTGGAGAGGAAATCTTTTGTTAGATTTATCCCTTAACATCCCACATTTTTTATGCTATTATATAAATGGCATTTTAAATAATGTCCAGTTTTTTGTTGCTAGTATATAGAAACGAAGTGTTTATGTACATTGATCTTGTACCTTGCAACCTTGCCAAACTCATTTAGTAGTGCTGGTAGTTTTCTTACAGATTTCCGTCAGTTTCTACATGGATGATCACACCCTCTCTGTATAAAGGCAGGTTTATTTTTCCTGTCCAATCTGGATGGCTTTTCTTTTTCTTGCCTAATTGCACTGGCTAGACCCTTAGTACAATGTTGAATAGAAGTGGTGAGAATGGAAATCCTTCTCTTATTGCTGATCTTATGGGGAAACACATTTAGTCTTTCCAAAGTAAGTATGTTTTTTGCTATAGGTGAGATGAGATGTCCTTTATGACGTTGAGGAAGTTTCCTTCTGTTCCTTATTTGCTTACAGTTACTTTTATTCAGGAATGGATACTGAGTTTTTTCAAATGCCTTTTCTGCATCTGTCAAGAGATAATTGCGTGATAGTCTTTTTTTAATTTCTTAATATAATGAATTACATTGATTTTCATTTTAAAATCCAATCTTGCATTCCTGGAATGAACCCTACTTGTACATGATGTATTACTTTTTTTTTTTTTACATATTATTGAAATTGATTTCTCAGAATTTCGTTTATAGTTGCTTCATATATGTTCATGAATGATACTGATTTTTATTTTTCCTATAGTCTTTGATTTTGGTATCAGCATTAATGCTGGCTTCATAGAATGAGTTGGGAGCTATCTATCCTCTCCTTTTCCATCATCTGAAAGAGTTTGTATAGAATTTATAGAATTTATTCTTTAAATGTCTGGTAGAATTCATCAGTGAGTGAAGCCATCTGGGCCTGGAGATTTCCTCATGGGAAGGTTTTTAACTTCAAATTCAGTTTCTTTCATAGATAACTATTCAGGTTATCTTTTTTCTTCTTGACAGAGCTTTGCTTTTGGTTTCTTTCAAGGAATTTGTCCATTGAAGTTTTTTAATTTATTGGCAGGAAGTTGTTCATAGTATTTCTCATAATTCTTTTAATGTCTAGATCCTCTCTCATTCATAATATTGGTGATGTGTGCCCTCTTTTTAACCTGATCAGTTTGGTTAGAAGCTTACCAATTTTTATTGCTCTCAAAGAACTTCTTGTATCATTGATTTTTCTCTTGATTTTCTGTTTTCTAGTCCATTGATATTTACTTCCTTTCTACTTATTTTGGGTTTAATTTGCTTTCCTGTTTCAAATTTCTTAAGGTAGAAACTGAGGTTACTGATTTGCTGTCATTCTTTTCTAATATAGGTGTTAAGTGCTAATAAACTGTCAGGTCCTTTCATTGACTTCTCTATTATTATGAGAAAATAGGAACAGTGTTCTGTGGGTTTATAACATGTATGTTATAATGTAACATACATGTTATATGTATAACATTATATGTTAAAATGTATGACCATAGTAACATCAGATGGGGAGATATGGAAGAAAATTTAGACATCTTATTTTTAACCATATATTTCAGTCTTCTTCCTAAACAGATGACTTACCTGAGATGTCACTGAACTGGTTCTCCCCTTCCCTTGCGTTTATCATCAGTGCATGGGAGGGCAGTGCCTCCACATTGCCTCCCCCTTCCCACCTGTTTGGCAGGCTGGCATATCCTCTCTGGCTGAAACAGCCACTAGTGAGGAGAAGGAAGAGGTTTCCTTGTGGATTTTCAGGGTTTTCTTTGTGGGAGATGGGGAGCGATGTTAGATTTGGGGTTTCTCAGCTGCTTTCATGATCATGGCTTTGTGGTTTTCACACAGGCACATCTCATTTTATTCTGTGCTTCATTGCACGTCACAGACCTTGCATTTCTACAAATTCAAGGTCTGTGGCAACACTACAGTGAGCAAGTCTTTTGGCACCATCTTTCTGACAGCATTTGCTCACTTCATGTTTCTGTGTTACATTTTGGTAATTCTGGCAATATTTCAAACTTTTTTTTATTATTATTGTATTTGTGTATAATTACAAACTGTGATCAGTGATAATAATTCACTGGAAGCTCAGATGGTTAGCATTTTTTAGCAGTAATTTTTTTTCCAGACGCACACATTTTCTTTTTTTTCTTCACTTTTTGTATTTAAATTCAATTATTTAACATTAATGTATTATTTGTTTCAGGGGCACAGGTCTGTGGATTATCAGTCTTATTTAACACCCAGTGCTCATTACAACACATACCCTCCCCAGTGTCCATCATCCAGTTACCCCATCTCTCCACCCCCCTCCCTCCAGCAACCCTCTGTTTCATGTTTCCTACATTTGTCTCCCTCTCTGATTTCATCCTGTTCCATTTTTCCCTCTCTTCCCCGTATGATCCTCTGCCTTGATTCTTAAATTCTGTGTATCAGTAAGATCATATAATTGTCTTTCTCTGATTAACTTATTTAATTTAGCATAGTCTAGTTCCATCCACGTTGTTGCAAATGGCAAGATTTCAGGTTTTTTTGATGGCTGGGTAATATTCCATTGTATATATATACCACGTCTTCTTTAGCCATTCATCTGTCAGTGGACATCTGGGCTTTTTCCATAGTTTGGCTATTGTGGACCTTGCTGCTATCAACATTGGGGTGCAGGTGCCCCTTTGGACCATTTCATTTGTATCTTTGGGCTAAATACTGAGCAGTGAAATTGCTGGGTCATAGGGTAGCTCTGTTTTCAACTTTCTGAGGAACCTTCATACTGTTTTCCAGAGTGGCTGCACCAGCTTGCATTCCCACCGGCAGTGTAGGAGGGTTCCCCTTTCTCCGCATCCTCGCCAGCATCTGTCATTTCCTGACTTGTTAATTTTAGCCATTCTGACTGGTGTGAGGCGGTATCTCATTGTGGTTTTGATTTGTATTTCCCTGATGGAGAGTGATGTGGAGCACTTTTTCATGTGTGTGTTGGCCATCTGGATGTCTTCTTTGCAGAAATGTCTGTTCATGTCTTCTGCCCATTTCTTGATTGGATTATTTGTTCTTTGGGTGTTGAGTTTGGTAAATTCTTTGTAGATTTTGGATACTAGCCTTTTGTCTGATACGTCACTTGCAAATTATCTTCTCCCGATTCTGCCAGTTGGCTTTTGGTTTTGTCGATGGTTTCCTTTGCTGTGCAAAAGCTTTTTATCTTAATGAAGTTCCAATAGTTCATTTTTGCCTTTATTTCCATTGCCTTTGGAGATGGGTCTAGCAAGTAGTTGCTGTGGCAGAGGTTGAAAAGGTTGCTTGTGTTCTCTTTGAGGATTTTGATGGATTCCTGTCTCACATTTAGGTCTTTCATCCATTTGGGTCTATTTTTGTGTGTGGTGTAAGAAAATGGTCCAATTTCATTCTTCTGCATGTGGCTGCCCAATTTTCCCAGCACCATTTATTGAAGAGACTTTTTTTTCCATTGGACATTCTTTCCTGCTTTGTAGAAGATTAGTTCACCATAGAGTTGAGTGTCCATTTCTGGGCTCTCTGTTCTGTTCCATTGGTCTATGTGTCTGTTTTTGTGCCAGTATCATGCTGTCTTGATGATTGCAGCTGAAAAGTTTTAGTTAAGGTATGTGCATTGTTTTTTTAGATATAATCTATTTCGTATTTCATAAATAGGATATATGTGTGTAAACGTAACTTTTATGTGCACTGGGAAACCAGAAAATTCATTTGACTAACTATACAGTGATACTCCTTTACTGTAGCAGTCTGGAACCAAACCAGTACCTCCAAGGTATGCCTGTGGTAGTTTTGTGGGAAGGAATTCAGGCTTCACTAGGAGGCACTGTTAACGTGGTCTCTGTTCTAGGAGCCCGCACCGCTGTTTGACCTGGCCATGCTAGCCTTGGATAGTCCTGAGAGTGGCTGGACGGAGGAAGATGGTCCCAAAGAAGGACTTGCCGAGTACATTGTTGAGTTTCTGAAGAAGAAGGCTGAGATGCTCACAGACTATTTCTCTTTGGAAATCGATGAGGTGTGTAACAGCCATTTGTATTCCTCTGTTGTATTCCTCAGGTAAGAGCCAAGTTCTGTAGTTGGTCCTCAGTCAGGGTGAGAAGGCGACCCACCCTTGTGAGAAGCAGCACGAGACATCCATTCACATCCTCACCCCCTATTTTCATGTCTGGGTTACACCACCTTTTTCTCATCCAGTCATGCCCATTCCTGTTCCCGGGGTGAAGGACCCGGACAAGAGAGAGCTGAATCCCACAGCCCCTACGGGCCACAGTGAATGAGATGATGCCAGGCCACTTGCTTTGTTTCTTCCTCTTATGCTTAATCTTTGGGGCTTTCCATATCTCTGTATTCTTTAGTTGGTGAGCATATTGAAAAAAGAAGTTGTTCTGCTTCATGTCAGTACAAAAAGCTTTTTAAGTGCTTTGCTCTCCCACCCCTGGTGCCCAGCCAAGTCAAGCACCTGGTCGCCCAAAGTGTGGGCATGCGGATAAGACCTGGAGGGAGCACTGGGGATATGGAACTTGATTAAACTGTAATGGTTTATTTCTTGTTTCCTTGTCGTGACCTTTTCTTCACAACCAGGAAGGGAACCTGACTGGATTACCCCTGCTGATCGACAACTATGTGCCTCCTTTGGAGGGTCTGCCTATCTTCATTCTTCGACTAGCCACGGAGGCAAGTGGTCAAGCTGTTTTTAACATGGGGGTACCTGTGTGTGGGCTTGGGGGAGAGGGCATGGGGCCACACCTTCATATGGAATGGTGGAAAGGGTAAAACAGCTTGACAGCCCCCCCCTTACCCCACCTACCCCAGCAGTATTCAGCAGTTCCAGTTTACAGATTTAATGCCTAAAATGTTACACGTAAAAAGCTTTAAGTAGTCTGTGACCTTGTCTTGGAAATGAAATGTGTTTACTAAAGCAAGTACCTACGCTGAGGTGTTCTTTCTTTGGACCAGGTGAACTGGGATGAAGAGAAGGAATGTTTTGAAAGCCTCAGTAAAGAATGTGCTATGTTTTACTCCATTCGGAAGCAGTACGTATCTGAGGAGTCGACCCTCTCGGGCCAGCAGGTACTGTAGTGACGCACAGTAGCACCCGGGACGGGGCTGGGCTCTCATACAACGTTTAGGAAATGAAACTTGCTGCCTCTGAATTCCTAGGATTTCTCTGCACATAAGGTTTAAACATAATGGTCAGCTTTTATTCATGAATTCTGCTTCCTTCTGCTGGTTTGGAAGGTCCCTCTAGAATGATCCCAGTACCTGTCAAACGTGAAAGCACAAGCTGTCACAGTGAGAGCTGGGAGGCCGAGCTGGATGACCCAGGGCTAGTGAGCCCTTGTCTCCTGTCGTTAGCCCTCCAGCATACAGCCCCAGTCTCCCCACGCTTGTTTAGCTTTAGCTCATTTAATCTGACCACTGCTCTGCCAGAACAGGGCAGTACTAAGGTCGGATCCCTAGCTTTTCTTACAGACCTTTCTGTACACAGAAAGGGCTTGGGTGACTGCACTTCCTACTGAACATCCTAGTCTATCATAGTCCAGATCAGATGTTACGTTAGATCCTGCTACAATCCACAGTTCCTCCCGAATGGAAACAAAGTTCCATGGGAGAAAGTCTCTGCCTTCTCTTCCTGTTGTCACCTCTCACGTTTGGGGCTGTAGGATCCCTGAGAGATTGAGCAGAGAGATGTTTCACCAGCATTAGGAAAACAGCAGATTGTAATGAGTAAGACTTCCAGGTCCAGTACAGGTCAGCCGGGAAACCACAAATGCTGGGATGTGAGTGAGCCAAATAGGGAGGCTTGTGACCTCTAACACGTCTTTTCCAGGGGGAAGTGTCCGGCTCCTCTACAAACCCCTGGAAGCGGACTGTGGAACACGTTGTCTATAAAGCCTTCCGTTCACACCTTCTGCCTCCTAGACATTTCACAGAAGATGGAAATATCCTACAGCTTGCTAACCTGCCCGATCTGTACAAAGTCTTCGAGAGGTGCTAACCACACTCACTTGTGGACTCTGGGCTGTGCGTTTCTTGCATTGTGTCCTGATGAGGGTAGGTCTTATAGTTGACGACTCCCATTTGCCCTCTAACTAGTAGCACTCTTTCACGCTTGGTGGAGTGTCCAGAAATAAATTGTCAAATGTGTCCTAACATGATTGATTTAGTTTCACTATACTTGAAAGGTTTTCTAGATCCATTTTCACCTACAGTAGTATACCTGATTGTGTTGAAGAATCCAAAAGTAGTTTGAAAGCCCTCGGGGCATCTGAAAGGAATTCTAAAAAGGCCTTGGAGATTTTATAGATCTTGCTCTGGTTTGAGTCTTTGGTATTCTAATTTCTAATATCAGCAGGTAAGAATTACATTGGTTCATATGCCTTTGGAAAGAGGTGCCGAACATATAAGAGGCTCTGGTGACACTGAGTTTGGAGAAAGCTGAATTGATAATCTGTTACTACGTACCTAACCAAAGCTCATTAATTTGTAATGGAAAAAAAAACTTGCGAGAAGACAGCAGTCCTTACGGAGTTTGTAACTGGTATGCACCCTAAGTGAGCCCCCTTTGTTAATGGATCTGAATCCTACCAGCTTAAGATAAAGTTCTAGTTATTCTTGTCTGAAGGATGACATAAAATTACAAACTTAAGCTGTAGGTGCCATTACAATAAGCTGCCTTAACACTAGCATGCATTAACAGAAATGTGCATTGAGCATCGGGAGGAAGAACGCCCACAGTACTGAGGTACAATCCAGATTACAAGACTCAGTGAAGAATGTTCCATGAGAAAGAACAGGGAACTCTACCTAATGAAGACATGGAGCCATTCCCTTTGGAAGAGAACAGGACAACAGGAGACAAATTTGTTGTACCACAAAAGGGGCAAGGTCAGGTTCTACCACACAGAACTTCCAAAAAGTCAAAGGGCGGCTCAGTAGTGGGGCTCGGTGAGCCCAGTGGGGCACAGGCTAAGCAGCCCTTCCTGACTCCAGGACCTCACCCTCTCTCCCTCTCCCCTATCTCCCACATGGGTGATTGCTGCTAGGACTGAAGAGAATTTATAGGAAGTCCCCTCCATTCAGGACAGTGGTTTCCATATTTTAAAATTAAAAGGCTCATTGCTCTGAAGAAGGAGGTAATTTGTAGAGATTTTCTTCACATTCAAGTTAGCTGTAGCATCTAGTTTCAAGTCAGCTTTATTTATCTCATGTGCCTTTAATTCACTGACTTCTCCCAGCCTTGGTTCTGAAGATACAGCCACCATCTCCACAAAACCACCTTGATTCTGAGGGCAAAAGCGAATCACAAATCCTGCAGAGTGGCCACACTCGATGATAAAAGCCCCTTGAACTGGGTGCCTTTAAAGATGAAACTGACTAGATTCTTAAAAAACTGTATCCACATTGTTCTCCTTGGGGAGGAGACAAAAGCAGAGGGGCAAGATCAGAGGCGTGGCTGTGGCTGCCCTGAGGTGTTTTAAAAGCTCCTCTAACAAAAATGAATGTGTCAGTAGCCAGCTGTGGTCAGCAAGAGGGTGCGTTTTAATAGAGTCTTCAGGCCGACCTCCCGCCTGCCTGCTCCCCCCACCCCGCCGGGCTTATCTGAGGTTCCATTCCACAAAGCAGCAGCAGATGAGATACTTTACATGAGATACAGCACAGCTGATGTTGAAGACGAAGGGCCCTGCTCTTACTTTAAGAGTGTTAGGCTTTGGACTTGCCCGACCACATGCAATAAAGCAAGTTTTATATACACTCCCCATATCTTTTTCTAACATTTTCTTATATAAATTTAAATATTTTACAAAAAAAGGCTTTTTCCTCGAAACATAGAAATTTGAGTGAAACATATATTCCCCACTTGTGAACTTGGTTCTTCACTAGAATATAAATGCTATCTGAAATCAAGGGTAAGTGTCTTTTGACCGCTGGAGATGACTGAAGTCTGAATTGCACTGTGGAGAAGGCACTTGTGTTTTCCGAGGTCTCCAGCCGAGTTATCTCATTGGGCACTCACAGAGTCGCTGTCCTCCGGAACCCGTGCCAAGGCCTCCGAGTGCCCAGTCACTGAGGCAGTTGGGGAAAAGTGGTGAGTAAACTTGATTCTAAAATTATGGAAATAAAAAATAAAAACAGCATGGACCAGTTCTTAGTCTAGAATCAAACTACGAACGAAATCCAAGGTGTTCATTCATGAAGATTCAAACCTGTTTCATTCTCTCATAAATTATAAAATACAAAGGTGGCTATTTTAATGACAAAACTCAAACAGTACTGAAGGGGGTCTGTGTCAATGGACAAAAAGTCAGTCCCTCTGGGAGGGGCCCCAGGAGCAGCACCCAAGCTGGAGGGTGGCCTCCTACTGCTGGGCCAGAAGTGCTGTCCTGTTGGCCTTCATCTTCTCCAGCCGCTTGGCCAGGTGGCTGTTGGTCATCTCCATCTCCTCAATCTTGTCCAGTGCTGTTCGTAACTGCAGACAGGGAGAGCCGGGTCACTTCACATGGTTACACGTGAACCCCGGTGCCACCCCAGTGCCACCTGAGCACCCTCCACCGTGCCCCCCACAAGAACAGAAGTGCTGCCAGCTCGGCCTTGCATGGCACCCCGTGTCCTCAGCTCTCTTCTGCCAGCTGGCGGTGCCCAGCAGGGACACTGAGCCTCAATCCCAGGAAGGGCAGACAAGCAGGTGGGGAGACAGACCAGCTCTACAACAGAAGGGAGACCTGTCCTTTCTCTTAGTTTCTAATTGACCAAAGCCTAAAAGTAAATGGCAGTCACTGTGCAGGTCAAAAACCAACACCAAAGAGGAAGAGCCTCCATTGCTATTCCCTTAAGACTTGGACCCAGGATTCAGTTCCTCGGGCAGCGAAGGATCTTTTCTTTGAGCATGCAACAGCAGGTACCTCTCGCTGTAGCTTCCTCTTTTCTGCCTTCAGTTCATCCTCCACCTTCTCGGCATTCTCCGCGGCGGTCTTATACCTCAGCACCTGGCCCTCGAGTCGGCTGATCTGTCAACAAGAAAACGCGAGCCTCTGCTAGTGAGCACCGGGAGCCCCTTTCTCGAAGCCACATGGAAACACAGCGTCATTACAAATCCCAAGTCATCCCCTCACGGTGAGTCATAGGGCCTCTCAGAACCCAACGGCTATTTATAGATCAAGAAATGTCCCCGGAGAGGATTACAGCTGGAGAGTCATTACAGAGTCCATTTCCCATGTTAAGTTTATGATGAACATATTATTTAAGTGCCAAATTAACATTGCAGGACAAGATTCACTAAATGTAAAAGCATTTGGACTTTCTGAAATGTGCAATAAGGGATTTTCAAATTACAGTCTTCCTAAATTCTCTTAAAATAATCTGGAAAAGGGGCGCCTGGGTGGCTCAGTGGGTTAAGCCGCTGCCTTCAGCTCAGGTCATGATCTCAGGGTCCTGGGATCAAGTCCCGCATCGGGCTCCCTGCTTAGCGGGGAGCCTGCTTCCCTCTCTCTCTCTGACTGCCTCCTCTGCCTACTTGTAATCTCTCTCTGTCAAATAAATAAATAAAATCTTTTAAAAAAATAATAATAATAATCTGGAAAAAAAAATTATATCTCAGTCTTGTGCATTCTTACAACTAACAAAAGGCTGAAGTGTCGTGCCAGGTTTTCTCTGCTGGCTTTTCTACTTTAAGAGAGAGCTTTTATAGAGACCCCACTACAGAGACAGCCAAGGAAAGCTGGGTACCCCTGGAATTGGCCACTCAGATGCAGGAAGTTGCAGAGGGAGTGTGAATCACTTCGTAGCGTGCTGAACAAGTACTTACACTCTGCTCCAATGTGGTTATATCCTGTTCTGCCTTTGAAAGCTTAAATTTATATTCACTTATTTGTCTATTGGCATCTCCTAGAAGAGAAGAGAACAGTGCATCACCTGTCAGCAGCTGTGACCTCAGGCAGTGACAACCTCTGCAGCCCAGGAGGGGACAGTACAGTGGAAGGAGACAAAGCGCAAACGCCCACGGGGCGGCCACAGCACCTTTGCAGCCTGGGCTCCAGAACGGCTCTCCTGCCAGAAGCTCTAACACCTGATCCCAGCATCCCTTGGACCAAGGAGTTGGAAGAAAATGTGACTCTCTATGCTATAGTGGGGGGAGGCTGACCACTGACCCTGTCAGTCAGTGCATCGGTGGCCCCCTCCAACCTTACGTGCTGCCCTTCCCCCAGGAGCCTCCAGTTTCCCTCACCTTCCTGACTCATGTCCTCAGCATGCCTCTACTTAGTCTCCTGTAACTTTACCTTCCCTGTCATGTTTTTGTTTTGTTTTGTTTTGTTTTCCCGTGTCATGTTTTTAATGGTTTTTCTAACATGATCGTGCCTTCTAAACACTGTGTACATGAGGAGAGGGGCCCTGGCTCTGCCATCCTCAAGTCTACCTCTGTATCTCGCCAAGGGCTTTGGGCATGTACTTAATAAACATTTGCTCAAAGAAATGCTTTTCAGTAACATTGTGATAATGTGATGGGTAGACTTCTAAATCATTAGTTGTACTTCTGACCTAAGAAGTCATTTAAAATAAGAAGTTTGAAAATTCACTCCAGCAAACCAAATTTCACAAAAATCACCTGAAATGATTATAGGGTAGGAATCATAAGGCCTATAGGAGATAAACCAAATCTAAGCAATCTAACTTAAGAACTTTTCTGCTTTTCCACATCACTGAGGTTATAACTACTTATATAATCTTCAGGCAGAGGTTCTTCTCACAGGTAGTTACTGTCTCCCGGGAAATAATGGGGCTATAAAACTGTCTCCCCGAAGGCCCCTCTGGCAGTGACAGACAAGAGTTCCTACTGCTGGGCTCTAAAACAGAAGCTTCAGGATCTGGTTTTAATCCTTCATCCCAGCCACTTAACTATCACAATGTGCTGCTTCCTTCTCATGGCAAACCTCCCTTTCCTTCCTGTTTTCAAGAGTGTAAGTCCTTCATCTTTGTCATTTTGTGCTTGCCATGAAATTCCATTCGACCACACCATGCTTACATCCCTGGGCTTCCTTTGCCGGCCAGACCCAGTCTATCAGGTCCCACTGAGCCCACCTCGTTCTACAGTTCACTCTGGGTCCTTCCCAGACACCAGCTCCATAATGCCCACCCGCCCTAGGAGCATTCACACGTAAGGCATGCCCGTTTCTCCTCAGTGTGACTCCTTTTGAATTTGCTGCTTTAGGCCAATGTCTTTCAAATCTACTCCCTAACCTTCTTTAAGACTGTTGGCAGCCACTGTACTGGTCCAGCTGATCCTCACAGCCTCCCAGCTAGTCAGCCTGCCTTTCCTCATGCCCATCTTCATCTATCCTCCATGCCAAAATATTTCTAGAATATTCAATAAGAAGTGTCACAAGGGTCCCAGCTGAGCTCTAATTAAGGACTTGATACTAACCTCAAAAGGCAGTATTAACAGTATTAATAAGCTTTAATCCAAGAAGCCTTTTCTATTTAGCCTAATGCAAAAAATATTTAGATGAAAAGGCCATGGAATAACCGATATTTTAAAATAAGTTATCAGAAAAGCCACAATTCAAATTGAAAAAGTCTCCCCTCTCCACAAATGCTACATTATCGAACTATATAGGAATGGCTGCTGACCTCCCCCCACCATGGAGATTACATTACTGTGGACATAGGAGGCATTTTAAAACAGCATGGGGTCAAAAGTAGAAAGGAGAAAAACTGCATGAGGTAAACTGAACAGGCTTACTCTGGCCTTGTTTTAAATTCTATCTATAAGGATTCATTTGGTTAATAAAACTTCCAGCAAAGTTCTAAAACTGTTCAGCATTAGTATGAGTTAGTTCCAAATATATCCTCCCACTATCCAAGAGAGATTCCACAAGAAAAATATCATTGGGAAAGGTGCCGTATGGGAGCGGACAGTTGACCCAGGTGTGGAAGAGGACAGCGCCAGGAGGACACTATTTCCAAAATGTCTCTAGAAATCACTGCACAGAGCGATAAGTACTCTTATCCAGTCCTCTCTTACTCCATTCCCTGAAGTGCAGAGGCTGCTAGAAGGCTCTCCCCGGCCAGACCACTGAGATCAGGACTACACTCTGGACTTGCCAAGGATTAAGCCATCTTTGTAACATGGCTCTCCCAGAGATGCACGTGGGAGACAGGCAGCCTCCCCACGGAGTGGCGCTGGCCCGGCCATGGTACCTACTCTGCATCTCGATGAACTGCAGGTCAGAACCATTGTGTAGCCCCGCCACGTCTGCTGCCGAGCCCTCACTCCGAGAGCACTTCTGCCGCTCCTCCTCCAGCTGCAGCTTCAGCCTTCGGATCTGAAGCAGAAAGAGAGGGCCGTCACAAGATCCACAGGACACAGTGGGTCCTCGGCCACACAAGTCATCCACCCAGAACCTGAGTGCCCACCACGGGGCCACGGGGCCAGATGCGCTAGCGACAAACTGGGAACATCAGAAGGAGTGAGCTCCAGGACCAGGTGTCTCAATCAAAACAGCCCTATTTGATGTTGTGTGTAGGCTGGTGGAACAGCAGATCTTTTCAGCGTTTCTCACTACTTTTATTCAATTCCGTTTTTAATAAAATTCCGCAGGCAGTTAGGTGTTTGTGTTTTGTCTTAAAACTGGGGTAAATATCCTAGGCTAAATATTTAGGAAACTTAAATGTTAAACATTGAATTCAATTAAATACTAAAATTAAATTTAATTAAAATATTAAGTATTAAATATGAACACTTAAATATTAGGTTAAATATTTAGAAAACCTTCTGTATACAGAAACAGTTGGAAATGTATTTTTTAGTTTGGTTCACAGTTGATCTACCTTATTTTACCCAAAATAAAGGATATTTATAGTAGCTTATTCATAATAGCTCCAAACTGGAAATGCTCCAAATGTCTATCAACAGGAGGCTAAGCAAACTATGGCACATCTACCCAGCAAGAAAGGGGAAAGCACTACCGATAGATGCAACACAGCTGAGTCTCAAGAGGACATACTATGTAATTCCAATTATATAAACCTCACAAAATGGAAGCTAATCCACAGTGACAGAAAGCAGAACAGTGGTTGCCTGGACAGGGGGAGAGAGGAAGGCTGAGGAAAGAAGGCTTACCAAGGGACACTGAAACTTTGGAGGGGTTATGAATATTTTCACCATTTTGATTGTGGTCATGGTTTCATGAGTATTGTTATGGGTTGACTCATATGTTGAGGTTCTAACTCCCAGTACCGCAGGATGTAAACTCATTTGTAAATGGAGTCAGTGAAGATGCATTTAGTTGAGCTGAGATGAAACCATGCTAGAATAGGGTGGGCCCCTGATCCAGTATGACTGGTGCTATACAGAGAGACAGGCACGTACAGAGGGACGATGATGTGAAGACACAGAACGCTATCCACAAGCCAAGGAATGCCACAAACTGCCAGCAAAGTGCCAGGAGCCAGAGAGAAGTGTGGGACAGACGGCCCTTCACAGGCCTCAGAAGGCACCACCACTGCTGTCACCCGACCATGGGCACTTGTTCAGTCTCCAAAACTATGCAGACAGGACACCTCCATTCCTCTAAGCCACCCAGTCTGTGGTACTTTGTAGGGGCTGCCCTCAGAAACAAATACGGTAGGACATTTGTACACCTTAGGTATGAGCAGCTTATTCTATACCTTACTTCAGGGGGTACATACCAACCACTCCTCGTCACTGCCATCGCCCTACTCCTTCAGTTATACCTTAATAAAGCTACAGGGGTTTTTAATTTATAAACTGAAGAAACTGAAAATGAATCAAATGTGAAGGGATTCAGGTTTGGGAACAGACAAGGCCCACTGGAGACAGGAGCCTGCACACACGGAAAACAAGATCAGATGAACAGACACGTACTGATGCTAAGGCCCCTGGTCCGGCCTCAATCCCCAGGATCCTGCCAGCAACACTGCTCCATGGACGCAGAGTCCTGGGGGATGTCTCCCTGTAGAACTGTCTGCCTAGTCTAAGGTAAAGACCAACAGACCCACATCAAAATTTCCCAAAAAAAGATGCAGCCACATCAGCCTTACATATGCTCAAAGCTGCCCATCAGGGTTTTAATCCCCACCGGCTCTGAAACTTAGGGCCAAATAGCATTAGTTAGGAAATAAACTATGCAGATGGAAGTAAACAACAGAGAACAGTGACGAACTGTCAATATCCTCTGAGGTAAGTAAAAATATCTACATCTGGAAATGACTGCAGAAACAGAAAGCCAATGGAAGTTTTCAAAGGTGAAGTTGAGAAAATCTTTTTAAAGCAGAGCAAAAGAGATCAAAAGGGATGGACAAACAGGAGAGAAACAAAAAAAAGTGCTGATCCCAGAGGTCTACTGCCCCTTCCTTCAGATATCAGAGCCATTTTCCCCCCGAATGCCTACAACTCTCACCAGCAGAGTTTGGGGAGCACTACAGCTCAGAACTACAAGGGGGACTGCCTCTGTGACCAAGACCGAGCCTCCCTAGGCCACCTTTGCCCTTCATCATCAAGGGTCAAGGGTGAGTGTGATGCTCAGAGTTAAGGGGGCTTCCCTAGCTGGTACCCCATCAACAGTGGTCAAAGGAAAGCCTGGGCACTAGGGCTAAGTGGGCCACATCCCCAGTGGGGAAAGAGTGAGCTCTGCACTGGGAGGAAACCCATGCTTCCCAGACACCTCCACCCTTTCAACATCTCCCTTGAGTGAACCAGGACTAGTTTTTCATTATCCCCAATATCATTATGTCCATCTCAAAAATAGTCATCCTCCTACACTCTTCCCTGAAGGGCTCTGTACAACTGTCACCCCCATCTGCACCTTCTAACCCTTCCCAATGCCTAAAAATCTGGATTACCATTTCCCCTCATCCTGAGTCTCTTCTCTGAGTGGTCCCTTTATCTAGTGCGTTGGCAGAAATCCACTCTCCCCTGAGAAGCCTGTTCACTCTGCAGCCCTCTGACCTGGTGATTTCTCCCAGAGCCTTCCTACCACTGGGCCTGAGAACAGAACACATGACCTGCTTTTTGTGCTGTTGCCCAACTATTCTCCATCGGTGCTCCCTAAAATCCCTACTTCCTGACCTCCTCCCCTCTGATTCCACATACCAACCACTCCTCATCACTACCATTGCCCTACTCCTTCGCCATTTAGCTCCTGATTTATGCTCCCTCAAGGATAGCCTGAGCAATTTAAAGATCCACCTACATAGAGAATTTCTCCTATGACCGATGGCAGTTTCTGGAACACTTCCTCTCAGAGGATCTTGCCATCACTACTCTCCCATAGTCATATACTGGATTCTCCCACTTGATTAAGTGCAGTCCCTGCATGAGTCAGTCCCATTCTCTTTTCTCCAACCTCTACTCCTGGTCTTTCCTGCTCCCTCTCTCAGGAACCCAAATCCCAGTCCTTCAATCCCACTGATATTTCCCATCTTTCCACTGGGCCTTGACATCTTCCTGGATTACCCATTAGCCTCATTACCCACTTCATCTCTAGGGTCATCATTATCAATACTCTCCTCCACATGCCCTCACCTCCTCTGCTCAATTTACACTCCTGGGTAAAATCCAACTCCGCCTACCCACACCTGCATCTATGGCCACTAAATGTGGCTAGAGAAACATACAGTAAGTGCGGTCAAACAAACTTCGAGCATACCATATAACTTACATATTCATTCCGTCTATTGTTTATTGTCTGGTTTCCTCCTACTAGAATGTAAGATCTGTCCCCTCGTGCAGGGATTATTTAACTGAGTAGTTCATGGAAATATGCCAAATGCCTGGAATGGAGCCTGTTAAAGAGTGGCATCTCATTCAACATTCGAATGACTGAACAGGAGTTTCAAAAAGAGATAACAGATTATGGGAAGGGAGAAAAACAGTCAAAAAATTTTCCCAGGATTGAAGGATAGAAATTCTGAGAATTGACAGGGGCCCAAAACATGCAGACAACTCCAAACCACATCACTGTGAAACCTCCTAACAGGAAGGAGAAAGTATGATATAAGCCACTAAAGAATGGAAGAAGTCACATATAAAAGATGAAAAATCAGAATGCCCTTGAAGTCTTCAACATGTTGGCTTCCATACTGGAAGCCAGAAGACAATGAAGCAATTTCTTTAAAAAAAAAAAAAAAGAAGAAGAAGAAGAAGAAGGAAAAATTCCAAGAATTCTCTAACCAAACTGTAATCAAGTAATAGGGTAAAATGAAGACATCTTGAGGCCTCCAACGTTATGAAAAATTTACAGCCTACATATCCTTTTCTCAGGAAGTTACTGGGGGAGGTATCAAAAACAGAATGAATGAAAAAGGAGGAAGGCGTACAGCATTGCTAAAAGGGACTCCAACCTCAACCACAGGCAGAGGAAACCCTAGGCGGGGACAAAGGGCAACCCGCCTGGGCGTAGAGGGAACGGGCCATGAAGTTCCCAGGGGCCAGGTGGGAGGCTCCAAGAACCAGCAAGCGGAATGGAGAGAACACTTGGCGCACCGCAAACTCTAAGAGCAGATTCAACTACTGCTGCCGGCGCAGCAGCGACGCAAGTCATAAATACACAGGAAACCGAGCAGAGGAAAAGAAAAGCCGCAGTGTCAACTCTGGGGGAGCTGGAGCTGTGATGAAGAGGGAAGGCAGCTCTGGAACGTTGCGGGGCTCCATGACAACTGCTTATGAGTCCCAGTGATACGTGCCGACGGGATGCACGCTGTGCCTTTGCTGGGACAGGGGATGGGAAGGGTGTGAGTGCTGCTGGGGACAGAAGGCTAGATGGTCCTCTTGCACAGAGGGATGTCAACAGACAGTGCCCAAAACAGAACCATCAAGAAGCAACATGAGCGTGCGGGAGAGAAATACACAAGAACAGTACACATGGAAAGAATCTGCTGAACCAATCAGCATGGTCAGGGTAAAGGTGAGGAGGCAGAGCAGGAAACTTCTGTCTTCACAAGAAGCTTCACAGAGCTATTTAACTCCTTAAACTCCACGTCTGATAATTTTTTTTAAAAGAACAGGAAACAACAAAAAGGCAAAACATGAATTTATCTTTTTGTCCTTCAAATCTTGAGTACTGATGTTTGAAATAAGCGCATCTCTTTCTTGTATACATTTTAATCTGCTAATGCTTTGCCATGTGATTGATTTAGTCCGTTAAATTAACATTATCTTCCAGTGAGAAGAATGCCTTTACCTGTGATAGTAGCTCCTCCTTTTCTCCAGCAAGTTTTCGTAGCCTGACATCTAAAACAAATGGAAAAGGTTGTAAACTAAATTTGTGAGGATATAGTACAGAAACAATTAAAAATCATTCTTGAAATTCAGAAACAGCAAACATTATCTGATAACTTATAGCTCTCAATATCAAAAGAAATGAAGGCTTAAGTTCAGTGCTAAGGAAAAATACTTAATTATTCAACACATATTTCCATATAAAAAACAGCTATCAAGGCACTAAATACAACATTTGCTCCCAAGGGCAGCGACTTTCCACTGAAAGACAAACCAAAGTACAAAGATCACTTCCTTGTTTCAAAAATGTGCAAGCTTTCACCAGCAGACAGACAACTTGAATGCTGGGTGCTCCCAGGTTTAAGCCTCACAGAAGCAAAGAAAATCTGGGAGAGAAGACAGAAGGGATACAAGAGGGCCTGGGTGGGGAGGCTGGTACAGGGAAAATGGGAGGACAATGCTGAGGAAGCAGAGGCCCTCAGAGACTAGTGAGGGGAAATGAGGAAACTCCGAGTTGCAGGCAGTCAAGGGCTAATCTGAGGTGTGGCGGCAGGATTGCTAGGGCTCACTCCTGGCCTGGGGGTTGGGCTGCTGCTTCCCAAGCATGCCCTTAAAACAAGGCCCTCGGACTGAGAGGGGCCAGAGATGAGTAAAAGCAGCAGTCGGCGCTGAGCCAGAGCCTCCCCCAATCAACTAGGGTCCCAGCCGAATGTTAAGTGCTGGCTTCCCAGTACCTTCCCAACAAGCAGAGGAAGTCCTGGGCTGCCCCCAGCCACACACTCTGCATTCTCTACAGCGGCTCCCATTGCCCCGCCCACAGCCTCTGCCATATCAAAGTGATCTGTCTCTGCAATTCTGTGCATCAGATAAAGTGTTTACTAACTCTGAAAAGGTCCCAGTCCTCTAGAAAACCTACACATTATGGAAACAAAAGGGAAAAAAACGTGGGCTGGTGTTAAGTGTATCTGTGCCACTTTCCTTCCTCTCGAGCTGAATTCTTAGTAGAGCCAATGGATGGGCATCTGCGCGGTTTCCCGGGAGAGGTGTTCTTAAAGTCTCAAAGGCTTAAATTTAAGACGCTTAGATGTTAAGAGGCTCAGAAGCCTTGCTCTAGAAAAAACACTCTAAGATCTGACTTCTTGGTCACCTGTTTCTTGCCTTAAGAAATGCGGTGGCAAAGAGCCGCCACACCCTGGGATAAGTAACAAAGCATAAAACCAGATTCTCCAGGAAAAAGAAACTTAAAACACACTTAGGAAGTCCCCTACCAGCCCACTGGTTCCTTGAGATGCATATGCTGGATTATCTCTTCCCGGAAGGTTTGTATTTAAGTAAAAAAGCAATGTGTTTACACCAACAGTGTTTCCATCCAGAGGCCCTACAATCACCCAAATGCTGGTTTCCCAAGTTCAAGGATGCCTAAAGACTCTGTGTCCAGATTTCTTCCTGTTAAGAATTTAGATAAACCTCAGATAGCCCTTGTGTTGTTTTTGTTTTCCAAGATGGGATATGAGTAAGCCGGAAGTCTAAGAGGACAGTAAATCCAAGCCAACAGAGCAGCAGCCAGTGTCTTACCTAATGGACCCTCTCCTGCAGACTCCAAGACCTGAGCAGCCTCCTGAGACACCACGGTGATGGCTCCCACCACTGGTTCATGATTGACATCCCCATTGGGAGTGCCATCAGGGATTATAACTAAACCACGTCTCTGTGGAAAAGGAAAAAAGTCACGGTCACAAAACATGGCCCACACGGAAGCAGTAGTATGCTCTGTGAGGGGACCCTGAGTCAATATGTCTGCCACAGGTAACACTGGGTTAGAACTAGTTACATGGAATATAGGTCCGTAGAAGAAATGACTGAAACCTACCAAATCTGCACTGAAGAGTGAACGCTGGGTTGTCTTTGGGCTGGGAAAGATAACAGGATGAAAGGAAGGAAGAATAAAGCAGTGAGGGACTTGAACTCCCGGCTAAAGCTAACGTACCTCTCCTGTCTTCACTGTCTCCTTCAGGTCAGCCAGCTCCTCTCTGAGCGTATCGCGCTCATTCCTAAGGCAGGCAATGTATTCTTTCTGTTTCTCTAGGGCCTGGTTTTAGACAGGGCAGCAAGGGAAAGAATGGCACAGAAAAAGAGCAAGTGAAAGAGGCAGCAGAGAGTACCTAATTCAAATAAACAAAGATAAGGCCATAAAAGACAAGGGAGCGGTAAAGCTTGGAAACCAGCAGTTAGATATGGGCGGAAATACAAAGTCATATGGACACACATCTGCACAGGAGGGTTTCAACAAAAACTGGTTAGTCGTGCGTCAATTCGCCAAAACATGCTTATCACATCAGGCAGGAGAACTGATCTTTCTTTTCCAGTCGATGGAAAAAAAAAAAAAAAAAAAAAAAAAAAAAACAGGAAAAGGAAGCGAAGACAGCAGTCATATTAAAATAAAATTTTCCTTACTGACCTTACTACATTTTCATATGGTGACCAAAACAAATGACTACATTTTATGTTTAACTAACACTGTTCATCAGGATACAGTGAAATTTTTTTAATTAAGAAAATTAAAATTTTTTAGTTAAAAAAGTTTTAATGGCCCTAGAAGAAAAAATAACCAATATATACAAGGTATTTTAATTAAATATTGGCTGTAGTGATTGTTCTACAAACAGTGTGGCAAAATATTCCTCAAATACAACTTAATTCAAAATAGCTAATCTCCAAAGGGATTCCCAAGGACCTTTTTTTTGTTAATTTAGTTAAATACAATTAAGAATCTGGTTTCTGGGGGCGCCTGGGTGGCTCAGTAGGTTAAAGCCTCTGCCTTCGGTTCGGGTCGTGGTCCCAGGGTCCTGGGATCGAGCCCCACGTCGGGATCTCTGCTCAGCAGGGAGCCTGCTTCCTCCTCTCTCTCTGTGCCTGCCTCTCTGCCTACTGTGATCTTTGCCTGTCAAATAAATAAATAAAATCTTTAAAAAAAAAAAAAAAGAATCTGGTTTCTGATACACCTTTCTAAATGGGAAAAAGAAAACACTGACAAAATAAATACAGCCCACCTATGGAGTGCAGCAGAATATGGGTTTGGGGGTCAGGCTTTTGAGTACCAGCACGTACTAACTTACCTAGGCCTCAGATTTCTCATCTGAAAACAGAAGGGACAACACATACACAGCATAAGCACTGCTGCCATGCGCAACTCCCAGGAAGGCTGAGGAAAAGCCCAGCACTTTCTTTCCACTTGGATCACCCCCACCACTGCCTGAATCACAACTGTCAGAGCTGAGACCAACAGGGCAGAAGCAGGCACACACCCGGGTCATCAGTGACAGAACAAATCTTTTCTATGTAAGGCAATAACCCAGAATTCAAAACATACCCCAGGCAAGCAGCCCATGCAGATACCTGACAGCTGGACTATTCTGAAAAAACCTTTCACTACATCAGTGTTCCTGTATTTAATATTTTCTGCCAATAGCCCCAACAGGCCAAGAAGTTAAACTACAGCAGGTACCTTTCCTCTCAGTTTATGGGGTTAGAAATGAGCCAATGGCTTCATTACTAACTGCTGAGTGGGTGGACAGTGTTCTAAATCATTCTAATCTTACGACAAGAGACACTGGGCAGCCACCAACCGTGCGGCTCCAACTGTACAACAGGCATTGCTACAGAGACATGTAATTTTGCCCTAATATATTGACGTACATATTATTTCTCCCTTCTATATCCCGCACTTGTCTTATCCCCATTGCACAGATCAGAAAATTGACGCTCAGAGATTTTATATATATACTTTTTTTTTTTTTTGGCCCAAAGTCGCAGTAAGTGCCAAAGCCATAAAGTAAATCTGGTTCTTTTTGGTCTCAAAGCCTTTGCTACTTTTTCTCTATCACAGTCCCAAGAAGGCCACAATTACGTTTCCTTACTGTCATCCCAGATGCTGCTGGAAAAGAAGCCTCTAAGTAGCCCAACCCATACTTACCCAAACTGCAACAATATCTAATTTCCTTTCAGCAATTTACATTCACACCATATGGCATGTCTTGAGTCTGCCTTCATGTTAATCATTTAGGCATTTATCCTAACACTTCAAGCTACTATTACCACTCCATTGCATTAATAATAAATGTTAACCTCAGGACAAAAAAGCACAAGCAATACTTTTCCACCTGCTGGCAGACACTCGATCTCCAGGGCTTAGATATTTGTGGGTTATTGGTATCTGCGTGCATAGTTACGCCATGCATCACCGCATACAACCAGGTCAGTGATCATTGCCACAACATGCTCTACATAACCACCACTGCTAGATGCTCTTAGGAACAGACCAATCTTAAACTAGAAATTCTAGCAAATGCTAGTACATGCCATTGGTTCCTCTTCCTACGTGTTACAGCAATGGACTTTATCTTTACTTTGGGACTTAACTTTATTTTCCCATAATTATGGATGGGAAAATAAAATACATCCTTTAAGTTCTCCCATTTCACCACAAAGTTTGAAGGCTACTGAAATACCTTCTAATTGGAGCAAATGTATTCTCACTGATCTGAAATCCTCTGTAGCACCTGAGCGTAAAACTGCTACCCTGTGTTTGCATTCAGTAATAGCTCTCACAGAAGACTTTTTTCCCCCGCTTAGGATAAAAACTACATGCCTGTGGAGATATAAATAATTCTTTACCCCTGACCTAACCTCAAATTCTAGGGTCAAGAAGCCTGAAAGATATGTAAAACAGGATGAACTCTGGGGACAACAGGTTATTTCTCCATATAATTGCATGGGGCCAGAAATATCTTAGAATGGGACAGAGCCTCACACAGGGCTATCCAGATACACCAGTCCCGTGTCTGTGCTTATTCCACACATAGCCAACTGGCACTCGGAACCGCCTTAGGGCTACAAGCATGACCACAAGGATCGATGGAGGAAAACCAAAGAAAACCAAACTCTAACATGAGAATAACGGCCATCTTCCTTTATTAAGTCACTAACTTTAAATCTTGAAAATGAAGCTAGAAACAAGTGATACATGAGGTAGTCACTGACTATATTGAAAATGTATCTTGTGCAGGTCGTGGGAGGACCACATTAGGATGGTTATCAGAAAAACTGGAAACAAGTGTTGGTAATAGAACCCTTGTGCAGTGCTGATGAGAATGGAAAATGGTACGGTTGCTGTGGAAGACAGTCTCACTACTCCTTAAAAAACTTAAACATACCATTACCATATTACACAGCAATTCTACTCCCGGCTATCAACCCAAAGTAAAGAAAGCAGGGCCACAAAGAGGTATCTGCAAACTCGTGCACAGCAGCATTATCCACAAGAGCCAAAAGGTGGAAGCAAACTGAGTGTCCATCCATCATCCAATGAATGGATAAACAAAATGTGGTACATACATACAATGAACTATCATTCGGCCTTAAAAAGGAAGGCCGTTCTGACACACGCCCCACCACAGATTAAAAAAAATTCTTTTTTAGTTTTTTAAAAAAGCCAAAAGAACACATTATTATATACCATACAGAAAGAAGATAGCCACTTACTCATTCAGTAATGTCATGAATATTTAAAAGTCAAATAATCTGTCTTAACTATGAGCACATCTTTTTGGTAGAAAATAAATTTTTGTTTTATTTTGAATAGCTATTTTATTGGACTAAGTGGTTTGGAGTTTTCCTATAGCTGATCCAAAATAATCAGTTTAAATACTAAGATAATTATACAAAATAGAAATCATGGACCTACAGATCTGTGCTATAGAAAATTACATGAAGGTCCTAAAAGAAGACCATTCTAGAGACCAGACTAACTAACCTTTATAAATTACCTACTTTGTGCCACACATTTTTTCACATCTCATTTTAAATTCCCCAAGTAAAAATGTAAGTTTAGTAGCTCACAATCAGAATTTCAAAACTCTTAACAGTTATATTCCAGAAGGCTCTTCTAGCTTTTAGAATTTTAGAAACTCAGTACTTAAATATTAAAAACTCTTAAGAAATAATTTTGTTTCCCATGTGTTTATTAATAAGAGGATGGGGGGGTGGGCGCCTGGGTGGCTCAGTCAGTTAAACAACTGTCTTCCATTCAGGTCATCATCTGGGGTTCCTGGGATGCAGTGAGTAGGGCTCCCTACTCAGCAGAAACTCTGTTTCTCCCTCTCCCTACCCCCACCCAAGCTCGCGCACTCTTGCTCTCTCAAATAAAGAAAGAAAATCTTTAATTTAAAAAAAAGGGGTGGGGGAGGCTATGTCCTTGGATGTATGAAAAGAAGTAGATATAAGAACTCCCCCATCAACAGTGAAGATTATGACCCAGAGGGCTGCTCATCCAGGCATGTCTATCATAGGTGTTCTTGGGGATCTTTGCCAACTTTTCCCTACGCCACCTGATCTCAAGCAGAACAAAACTTTCTGTGTTCTCAAGACAAGGGCTTTCTTCCTTCTCTCTGCTTCCTCCACCATAGCCCTTCCCTGACAAGGTAAGCGTCTGGCAGCTGTGGCTGTGTGGCACCCCCAGTGCAGAATAGAGCTCACAGCATGAGGTGGGGCACATGTCAAGGGTGACACGGGATGAACTGGTGGGAATTTTTCCAGCCTCCATACGCTTGGAATCTATCTAAAGGGCTTATTAGCAAAAAACCACTGAAGACTTTCCTTCTCTGGGCAACCCCCCTCCCTGCTTTGGGGAGTCATGGGTTATAATTAGAGATGACGTCATGGTTTGGCAACTGTGGCAAATCTTACATTCCTATCCACTTCCGTAACTAAATTGATGTTAATCTCTTCCTATTTTATTCACCAAGGATTTATGGGATGCTAATTACTTTCCCTCCACCCCCCACTCACTATTCTCTTGTCTCTCATCCAAAATTCTTGCAATGTAAGGATATCTGGTTACCCACAGAGTTTGAATTAAATGCCTGTGGCTGCTTCTGGATGAGAATCCTGGGGAAATAAACTTCCCTAGAAAGTTTCTACTTTGTAGGTTTCACAAGCCCAGAGTCCTGCTAGCAAGAAGAGTTCTTTCCAGATATACTATCACGTTTTTCCCTGGAAGTTTTTTTCTGTCTTCTGCTTATTCCCATTTCAGTGTATAAATGCTCAAAAATAACCAAAAAGACAGATTTTTAGGAATCTCTAAGTTAAATTATATTGGTCTATTCCTCATCAATGAGCTTCAGACCAAAGCCCAATTTCATTTCATACCCTAATATTTTTATCTTTCCAAAGGAGTGTCTCCTGGAGGTCAAACACCTCTTTTGTCACGGTGTCTATTTTCTGCTGCATTCGTTGATTCTCCTGCAGAGGAAGTGGGGAGAGAAGTAATAAAAGAACAGAAAGAAAAAACGGAGGGGGTCAGAGGGAGGAAAACAGAACAAAAAGTAAAGCTGATAAAGAAACTTAATAAAGGGAGAAAGCAAGCTGTGCTGAACAGGAAAAGAGCTGCTTGCAAAGGAGAAGATGACATCCAGTGTCTTGGCGACAGGATTTCTGCTGGCTAGCCACAAGGAAAGTGGGAAGAACTACTGGGAGCACAGCCCTGCGGCAGCAAGCCAGTTAGGGCTTCTGTGTACAAGCAACTCCACATATGTGCTCTTCCTCTGATAACTGCCTTTTTTCCAAACATGGAGCAACTTACAATTTCTAGAGAGGGAAATTTTGCTTATGAGAGAGCAAGCTATAGTTTTAAACTTTATTTTCTTAAGTAGAACTAAAAAATACAAAACATCTCAACTTAATCATTTCAAATTTGTTAGTAGAACCTACCACAGCAAGAATAATATGAATTTGAAGGAACAGTCGTATTTTTAGTTTAGTTCAGTTTTTTAGAAAAACTAGAATTCAGCATGTAGCCATTCTTAAGCAACGATTCTCCTTAGGCAACGAGATTCAATTTATACACTTGAATATTAACAGATTTTCTTTTAAGAATTATTGGTAAATTACCATCTCCTACCTTTCCTACATACACATTTCTTATCTACTTTAACCATGGAAAGACCAAAAAGCATTATTTTCTCATATTCATTGTTTTTCAGTTATACATACACAGGGGTATTAACATCTAAGACATGTTACTTCTAAACATAAAAACTCCTAAAACTAACGTCTTTAAAGTTCATACATACAGCACCCTCGGCTTTCTTTAAAGAAATCACAGTGACAAGTTATGGGAATCAAGCATTACAATCTCTCTTAAGCACTATCATCAAATTAAAAGCTAAAACACTTAACCAATTCTAACTTAAGTTACTGAATTTGAGAAGCAGCTGGCAAAACAGCTTTATTATTCTTCTGAAATCAAAAGTGGGGAAAAGTATATATCTTAATTAGAAAAAGAAATCACAAGCGGTTGGAATATAGACACAAAAAAGACAAAAGGACAAAAAAGGAAAGGAATTCACATTATTTTTAAATACCAGGAGGACACAAAACTTAGATAATATGCTTCATGCCAAAAATGGAAAAATGAGGACAACTAACTTCACATGTAATCTGGTATTTTCAAAGGGTTATCTGTGTCCGCATTTAGCATTCACAAACTCAATCTACCAGACTACATTCAATTCAATCATTCTCAAGAATGAAGAAAAGTTAACACAAATCCACAAATAGAAAAGTAGTCGTTTCTTTTATTATTAAATGGTTTTTTTAAAGTTATTTACAGGGTGAGAGATTTAAGTGGGGCAGGTCCATGGGGAAAGAGAGGAGGAGGGAGGGGAACCAAGTGGGGATGAGTGGGGGCAGGGAGGGTCCTGAGCAACAGGAATGTGGATGAGTGTGGTGCGGGAGACAACTCCCAGGGATCCCAGGGATCCCTAAGAGCTGGCCTTCCTAAAAGCACTCCCCTGTCATCAACATTAAGGTAACATAAGAAACCTTTGAGGGGCACCTGGGTGGCTCAGTGGGTTAAAGCCTCTGCCTTTGGCTCAGGTCATGATCCCAGCCTGCTTCCTCCTCTCTCTCTGCCTGCCTCTCCGTTTACTTGTGATCTTTGTCTGTCAAATAAATAAATAAAATCTCTAAAAAAAAAAGAAACCTTTGATAATCACACCATGCCAGTGGACAGGATCCCTTCCCAGAATACTTAAAAAACACGAGGAAAAACCTCAAAAGGAAAAGCCACATTAAAGTGAGTTACCTTGTTACTCACAAGATAACAGGAACAAAAGTACAATAAATGCTTTCAAAGATTTCTTGGTGGACCCCACTGCTTCACATTCCTCAGGATGCTGCCAACACTGAAGCTCTCAGGGGTTCCTCCACCAGCACAACCTGCCCACCTCCAGTTTTTCATATAGAAGCTGTCTGTCTTGACTAGTGCTTTTCCTTTAGCCGCCTCAGAAACAGATCTACCTCAGAGAAGATCAAACGTCTTACTCCCTAAGAATCCTGCCCCAGCAGACAGCATTCACTATATTCCAAAAACTAATGGTACTCATAATTTTTTCCTTTTGCCCATTTCCTAAGATATCTTTAGCAAAGAATGTGCTTAGGAATAAAAGATAATTACGAAAGCTTTTGCTATTACAAGGGGAAATGTTTATAAAGTTGGTAGCATTAATTTTTTAAGCCTGACTTTATGTTTCATGTGTATGAAATTTTATGGTACAGCTAAGATGAAGAGACAAGGAAACTCTGTGGCATTGTAACTCCCTTCCCTCCCAACACACACCCCACAGTCCCATTCAATGCATTTTGTTCAAAATTAAGTATTTCCACAGTTCACGCACATACCTCAATGAGCTCATCTCTCTGTCGAAGGCCTTCTTTAAGTTCATCCATCTTATGCTGCAGCACACTACACATATGTTTCTGCCTTTCTAACTCCTGTTAATAAACAAATGATACAGCTTATACAGCTAAAAGCACACAACAAACTGGCACGTCTACAATACACTAATACCGAGGCTAAGACTGACCTCCAGAAACACACATGGACTTCCCATGCATAGTAACTTAGAAAAATTCTGTTTCTATGGAAAGGTTCAGAAAATTAACATTTTTCATCTCCTAGGAGTATATATCTAGAAAACCCAGACTAATTAATGGCAAAATTACTGAGAACAATGAGAAGACTTAATAAAGTAACATGTTATAAAATTAATATATAAAATCCAATAATCTTCATAAATATAAATAAAATATAGAGAGAAAATATAATAAACACAATATCAAAATTAAAAATTTAAAAAATACATGTGTAAACTTATAAGAAATACCCAAAATCAATATGAGGAAAGTCATATAAAATATTCCTGAGAGACAGACAAGTAGGACTAAATAGAAAGGCATATTATCTTGGATAAGAAGACTTAATATCATAAAAATGTCGGTTCTCCCCCAAATTAATCTATACATTTAATGCTGTCCAAATAAAAATACCACTAGGCTTTTTTTTCTCATCAAAACTTGAAAAATTGATTATAAAGTTTATTTGGAAGAAAAAACAGCCAGAAAAAAAAAAAAATACCAGTAAAGAAGAAAGCTAGCCTTACTAGACATAAGGCCTATATAATTAAAAACAATGTTTGTAAGGGCTTATGAATACAGATGAAAGGAGCAGAAGAGAAAATCCAGAAATACACCCAGTTACACATGCAAATATTTTAAGCAAAAACAAAGCAAAATGATCATCTCCAATCAATCAGAAAAAATAAGAGTTTTGTGTTAGTGAGGCTGGAATAACTGGATATCCAAATGGAAAAAGGAAACTGGAAGCACACCTCACAGTATACACCAGGACAAATTTCAAATGGATTGGCAGTATATGGAAAGAAGGGAAAAAAAAAGAAAAGGAAAGAAGGGTACAGTTACTAGAGAAAAAAATGATAACAAAGAGTAGGAAAAAATGTTACTAAAAATGACCTAAAAATCTACCAGCAAGGAAGGGAAAGGGGTAATAAGTTAGACTATATAGAAACTTTTGAATGGCAAAAGGCACTCTAAGCAAAATAAAAACACAAATGATAAGCTACGAGAAAATAAATTGCAACTTGTATCAGAAAAAGGTTGTCTCTCTATATAGAGCCTCTAAAATCAAAAAGAAAAAAATAATACTATATAGAAAAATAGTCTAAAGAAATGGACAGTTCACAGAAAAAGAAACAGAAATCACTCTAAATATAAAAAGATGATCATAGGGGCACCTGGGTGGGCTCAGGGCGTTAAGCCTCTGCCTTCAGCTTGGGTCATGATCTCAGGGTCCTGGGATTGAGCCCCACATCAGCTCTCTGCTCAGCAGGGAGCCTGCTTCCTCCTCTCTCTCTGTCCCTGCCTCTCTGCCTACCTGTGATCTCTCTGTCAGATAAATAAATAAAATCTTAAAAAAAAAAAAAAAGATGATCATATTAAAAGAACAATAAAGTAAAACTGTATGTCTCACTTAAACACTAGTTGAAGTCCAAAAACTTGACAATGTATTCAGGAAAATATTATCGGGAAGGAAATAGGCATTCTTGTACATTTTAGTAGGAATCCAAAATGGTATAACTACTACAAAAGGGAATCACAGTATCCAGCAGAGTGACCATGCCTTTTGACCAATGAACCCACTTTGATGACTCCCCTAGCTCTCCCGGCAAAAATGCAAAAAGACTTATGAAATACATCATTTTTGCAGGACTATTTTTAACAGCAAAAGACCGTAAATAGGGGCGCCTGGGTGGCTCCGTGGGTTAAGCCTCTGCTTTCGGGTCAGGTCATGATCTCAGAGTCCTGGGATCCAGCCCCGCATTGAACTCTCTGCTCAGCAGGGAGCCTGCTTCCCTCTCTCTGCCTGCCTCTCTGTCTACTTGTGATCTCTGTCTGTCAAATAAATAAATAAAATCTTTAAAAAAAAAAAAAGACTGTAAATAATTCTGATGCCTATTAATCAGGAGCTGGTGGAACAAACTACAGCACATGCACACCACCAGATCCTGATGTAGTAATGCCAAAGAACGAAGAAGACCCACAGTCACAAGGCGATAAAGAGCAAGGTGTAGAATAGTATTTATTGTGTGCTACTATCTTCTAAGAAAGGGGGGATAAAAAGATGTATTTGTATATGTATTTTTTCAAATAGCAAAATATATCTATTTAAGTTAAAAAATGGAAGGCTAAAGCATTTAATTAAAAAATCCCTTCAAGAAACAGGGATGAACAGAGATGGAAGATTGACTTCTTTGATATATTTTCTTTGTTCATTTGACTTCAGATATATGTAAGTATCTTATGTAATTATAAAACACAATTAAATTCAAAAAGCAATTCCTGAAGGAAGCAACCAAGTGTCCACAGACAGATGATCAGATATACAAAATGTGATATATACATACACCGGAATAATATTCAGGAAGGAAATTCTGACGCACACTACAACACAACATGGATACACCTTGAAAGCATTATATGAAGTGTAATAAGACAGTCACAAAAAGTAAAAAACTATATGATTTCACTTCTATGAGATCCCCAGAGTAGCCAAACTCAGAGAGAGAGAAAGTAGAATGGTGTTTGCCAAGAGTTGGGTCAGAGGGCAGGAATTGTTATTTAATGAGTACAGAGTTCTACAAGATGAGAAAGTTCCCACTGCACAACAATGTGAATATACTTGATACCACTGAACTGTCTGAGCTGTAACACCTTAAAACGGGTTAGATGGTAAATTCTGTTATACTTTTTATCATAATTAAAAGCAAAAATAATCTAAAGATAAACATTTTTAAAGCAGGGCGCCTGGGTGGCTCAGTTGGTTAAAGCAACTGCCTTCAGCTCAGGTCATGATCCCAGAGTCCTGGGTTTAAGCCGTGCATTGGGCCCCCTGCTTAGTGGGGAGCCTGCTTGTCCCTCTCCCTCTGCTGCTCTACCGGCTTTTGTCTCTCACTTTTTCTGTCAAATAAATAAATAAGATCTTTTTTAAAATAAATAAACAAAAAAAAAATTAAAGCAATTCCTAAGTATCGAAAATAAAATGCACTGAGTCTAATTATATATCCAGTTAGCAGCATAAGCACACAGAAACTATTTTGAGTAACTTTTAAAAACAATGGTTGGACTATACATAGTATAGCAGCAAAATAACAACCAACCAGAACAAAACAAAAAACTTTTAACTATTTTCAGTAATTATATCACTTGTGGCGACATTGGTATTGCTATTCTGAGCACTGTGGGATAGAGCAAAGAGAACAGAATATAACATAATTACTATCATCCCCAGTGACTTTGAGAACTAGCAGTGGGAAAACGGAGATATACATATGTAGAACAGCATAAGGAAAAATGCCAGAGTCCTGAACTTGAACTAGAACTACCAGAATAAACTCATAATATATTTTGACTTTAAAAACAAAAAAGTACCCCACATAAATATTTCCCTGATACACCCAGTAAGAAGGCCTTTATAAACAGTGATGATCTCGGTGGCAAGAGCTCTCCAGCACCCATACCGCCCCACTACAAGAACCAAGGCTCCTTGGACAAACAGCTCCAGGTTTGGAGCAGGAAATGTACCAGATGAGCCTGGAACACTTTCTTGGGCTAGACAGAATTTATCCAAAAACAAACAAACAAACAAACAAACAAACAAAAAATCATGTCAAAATTACTTGGAAATCAACCTGAACACGTTCATATTACTTAAAGGTTGAACAATCTGAAAATCAAAAGAATAAAAGCTAGGGGCACCTGGATGGCTCAGTCATTAAGCGTCTGCCTTCAGCTCAGGTCATGATCTCAGGGTCCTGGGATAGAGCTCCACATGGGGCTCCTTGCTCAGTAGGTAGCCTGCTTCTCCTTCTCCCACTCTCCCTGCTTGTGTTCCCTCTCTCACTATATTTCTCTCTATCAAATAAATAAATAAAATCTTTTAAAAAATAAAATAAAATAAAAATTTAAAAAAATAAAAGCTAACATGAATTCAAATCATCAAATGCTGGTATTCTTGACTTCATAATGATATATTTTTTTAAATTTTTAAGTTGTATCTGATAAGGGACTTGTATCTAGAATATATAAATTCTTGCAACCAATAATAATTTTAAAAATCTAATTTTAAAATAGGCAAAAAAGAGAGCCAACTGGATGGTTCAGTCAGTTAACTGTCTGCCTTCAGCTCAGAACATGATCTCAGGGTCCTGGGATGGAGTTCCATATCAGGCTCCCTGCTCAGTAGGGAGTCTGCTTCTCCCTCTGTTCCACCCCCTGCTAGTGCTCTCTCTCTCACTCTCTTTCTCTCAAAAAAATAATAAAATAAAATAAAATCTTTAAAAAATAGTAATAAAAAATAAAATGGGCAAAAGATCTGAAAAGCTATTTCTCCAAGGGAGATATATGAAGCATATGAAAATATACCCATAATTATTAGTATTCAGGAAAATGCAAATCAAAACCACAGCTGCTAGGAAGGTTGTAAAAAGAAAAAAAGTCAGACAATAGTAAGTGTTGGTGAGGGTGTGGTGAAATCAGAATTCACATACACTGCTGGTGGGAACGTGAAATGGTGCAGCCACTGTGGAAAATGGCCTGGCATTCCTCAAATGGTTCAATATAGAGCTGCCATATGATCCAGCAACTAACTCCCTTCCCAGGTACACACTTAACAAAAAGGACAACATACGTCCACACAAAGATTTATACACCAATGTTTACAGAAGCATTATTCATCACAGCATGTGCATCAGCACACAAATGAAAAACAAAATGTGGTATACCCACCGAATGGGAGAGTATTGGGCCATAAAAAGTAATGAGGTAGTGACCCACACTACAATACAGATAAACATCCAAAATAGTTAAGCTAAATAAAAGAAGCCAGTCTAAAAAGCCAACCTCATATTCGGTGACTCCACCGACTGTAAATTTAGAATGGGGAAATTACTACAGAATCAGAAAGCAGACGAGTTACTGAGGGCTGAGGGGGCAGGAGACAGAGCAATGACAGCTAAAGGATACAGGGCCTCTTTCTGACACGACCACAGTACTCTAGAACTAACTGGGATGGCTGCACATAATGTGAATATATAAAAGCCCCTGAATTGTACTTTTAAATGGATGAAGTAGATGGTACGTAAATTTTATCTCCAATCCATTTTAAAGTAATACAAGAAATATAAAACAGTAATGATAAAATTAGTATATCCCATTTTCCAACCCCTGATCAGCTAACAGATCGAATCATTTAGCAACAGCACTGTAAAAAGAAAGAGCCACACATCAAGGCCTCCTGCAGGATGATAACCCATAACCCGAGAAGTAGACTTGACAAAAATGCTGCACCTTTGTTTGGTTAAGCCTCTAAACCTCATTACCTGTTTACAGAAAAGACAGAGGAAAAGGGAACACAATAAAGACACCACAGGGATGAAACAGCAAATCTCTAAGGCTGTCGGAAACTGTTAAGACAAGCAATCCAGTGTCTTTGACACACAAATTGCAAGGGAGGAAAAAAAAAAAGAGAGATGAAGGGAAAGCTATAAACACAAAGAAACTTAAAAGACATGACAACTAATTTCAACTTATGAAACAAATCTGGATCCTCAGGCGGTTTTTTCTGGGTTTTTTGTCTTGGTTTGGTTTGGTTTGGTTTGGTTTTTTGTTATTGTTGTTGTTTTTGCTTTTAAGTGTAAAAAAGAAAACCACTTAGGACATTTGAAACAACTGAAATTTTAACAATGGTTGGATATGTAGTACGAAGGAATTATTCTTAATTTTTTAGATTCCTTCTATCGTTTAGAGAGTCTTAACCTAAACTCTTTTTAAATATGAGGTACTGAGGGGTGCCTGGGTGGCTCAGTCGGTTAAGCATCTGCCTTTGGCTCAGGTCATGATCCTGGCGTCCCAGGATCGAGCCCTACACCGGGCTCCCTGCTCAATAGGGGTCTGCTTCTCCCTCTCCCTCTGCTCCATCCTGGCTCGTGCTCACTCACTCTCACTCTCTCAAATAAATAAATAAATAAATAAAAATCTTCTTTAAAAAATATGAGTTACTGAGGTCTTACCTCAAAGAACAGGAGTGGGGGAAGTAGATGGACAAAATTGGCCATGGGTTGATGGCTGGGGGTAGATGATGGCTTTAGGAGGATTCAGAATAGTCTGCCATTTTCTGTATTTTTAAAAACTCTAGGGGCGCCTGGGTGGCTCAGTGGGTTAAGCCCACTACCTTCGGCTCAGGTCATGATCTAGGGGGTCCTGGGATCAAGCCCCGCATCGGGCTCCCTGCTTAGCGGGGAGCCTGCTTACCCCTCTCTCTCTGCCTGCCTCTCTACCTACTTGTGATCTCTGTCAAATAAATAAATAAAATCTTTAAAATAAATAAATAAATAATAAAATAAAAACTCTAATAAAACATTCTTTGAAATCTCAGATAAGCTTTAAAAAAAGGAAAAGAAAAAGAATCCACTACTAAAATAAATAGCTATTAAGAAAATACTATACTTGGGGCACCTGGGTGGCTCAGTTGTTAAGCGTCTGCCTTTGGCTCAGGTCATGATCCCAGAGTCCAGGGATCAAGCCCTGTATCGGGCTCCCTGCTCAGCATGAAGCCTGCTTCTCCCTCTCCAACTCCCCGTTTGTGTTCCCTTTCTCGCTGTGTCTCTCTCTGTCAACTAAATAAATAAAATCTTTAAAAAAAAAAAAAAAAGAAAGAAAGAAAGAAAGAAAATACTATACTTGAAACATCCCTAATCAGGCATTCATTCGTCCCCAGAGTTAAGTATAGAGACAATATTTAAAATGTGGTATTATAATCCCAGCAGGAAGCACTGAAGACATTTTGAAAAATTCTATTAATACCATGATTGTTATAATTGAATGGTCCTTCTCTACCCTTTCCTTCTGAGCTATAATAAAACCTACCTGAGTGCCTGACCTCTCTGTAGGTCTCTGAAAGTGAATATTCTACTGCATGAGGCAGTATCTATAGGGGCACCTGGGTGGCTCAGCCAGTTGAGCAGCCAAGTCTTGGCTGACTTGTCACAAGTGCTGAGCACATACTGATATGCCATTATTACCTCAAGTCCACAGTTTACATTAAGGCTCACTCTTGGGATTATATATTCTATGGGTTTTGACAAAAATAATGTATCCACTCATATAGCATCATTCAGAATACTATCACTGCCCTAAAACCCTCTAGTCTGTCTATTCATCCTTTCTTCCCCGAAGCCCTTGACAAACACTTCCAAACACTTTTGAAATCTGACCAAAACAGACTGGAATGAGCATCTGCAGTCCTCAAGGGAAAAAACCCCCATTAGGGTCTACAGTATTAATACCAGTCCCTTAAAGGTTGTATGAACAGCTTCTCTCCCTTCAGATTACTGATGTTTCTAACAACTCACCAATGCATACTCCCTAAATTGTTTCCTGGGTTTTTTATTTTTGCAACGTAATCACAATTCATTTTTTTGGCAGTACTATCCTTTTGTCCTCTGCTTGGACTGACATCAACACTTTAAAAAGTCCAAATCCAATAAGAGAACCCAATTTGTTTTCTGCAGTTGTCAAAGGGCAAATCTGAACCTTGCACAGTGCCTTTTATTTTCCGTCTGCACATTTTAACAATGTAACTTACAAACCTCTAAAGAAAACATCTGTTGACTTCTGACCTATGTCTCCATCCTGCTGTTTTTAAATAACTGGTTAAAAACTTCTCTCCCCATCATTTAGAAAACAGATTATCTTGAAAAATGATAGAAAAGAAAAAAGTAAACCATCTCACTGAAAGTCTTCAGAGCTTTGTGGCATTCCAGCCAGTTAAAACAGGAAGAAATAAATAATTCACTGTAATTATCCCAATTAAGAGATAGCAAATAAAGATAAAACTTGAGTTGTATTCGATCTTCAGAAAATGAAGGAGGCCATAAGTTTTTCCTTAAGAGAATTAAGTAGATTTTATAAAAAATTTAAAAAGGAAAATATTTTAAGACCTGAGAGCTCATGTTTGTCTACTTCCATGGATCAATCCATTTCAACTGAAGCTTCAGTTCTAGGTATGATGCACTCTTCCATCAAGCCAGCATCCCCGAAATGGCAAGTTCTAATTTTCTGGCCCAGAGAAAAGGATGATATAAGATGCACAATTACCTTTGATTTTTCTTCATTTTCTCTATAAAATTCTGCCATCTGTTCCTCCTGTTCTTCAATAACATCTTTGAGGGTGTCTACCTGGTAGATCAAATTGTTCTTCTCATTGTCTAACTGTGCGTTGGAAACCATGGCTTTCTTGTATTTTTCTTCCACTTCGGACAAAGACTCCTAAATGAAAGTCACAGCCATCAGCCTGATATCTAAAATATGTTCATCGTTTATATGCAGTATAACAAGAAATATAGCACTGGCACGAACACATGAAGATGCATTTTTGCAAAATGCAAGCGGCTGGGGGAACACCTGGTTTAGTAACATGCACATGAAACAGAGGATGGTAATAAGCCAATTATGCCAGGATAAAAACTTTATATGCTCTCTGCTATCCAAGAAAACAAAATCAAGCAGCAGTGCAGCCTCTGAAAGAAGAAAAGGTATGCATACCACATATATTTGTGAAGAGTCATTAAATGAAAAAGCATCAGTGTTTTCAGAAATGTTACTCTTGTTTTTAACAAGCTGTTTGGTATTCAGAATGCAATGATAGAACAAAATACAACCTCTCTTTACACAAGTAAACTTTATTCTCGTTTGAATTTTGCTACTTTCCAGACATCTGTTTTCAGTACTTTCTTGTTCTGTATAATAATGTTAATGTAAAGGCATAAGCATTTTTTCTAACAATTATTGAAATTCTGGTCATTCTTACATAAGTAAGCAATAAAAAAAAAGATTAAAAAAAGAGCAAAAACAACAAAAAGAGCAATAACAAAATGCCTGAACTGTTATCTAATTCAAACTTTTCTGCTTAAAACAGCTTACAAGTCTATTTTTTTTTAACAAGTCTATTTTTTAATAACTATCAAATTTGATTTGATTACTACTACTCTAATTTGGTAGATTATTACTACATACTAAGTTTTTAAGGCTAAAAAGAAAAAACATTTTGGAGCACCTGGGCGGCTCAGTTGGTGAACATCTGCTTCAGCTCAGGTCGTGATCCCAGGGCCTTGGGATCGAGCCCCACATCGGGGTCCCTGCTCAGTGGAGAGCCTGCTTCTCCCTCTCCTTCTGCCCCTACCTCCTGCTTGTGCTCTCTCTCACTCTTGCTCTCTCTCACTCTAACTCAAATAAATAAAAATCTTAAAAGAAAAGCATTTCACATAAAAAAAACTCATTACTTTTAGAAATAAATTTTAAAAATACTAATGTTTGTATCAACATGGATGGGACTGGGGGAGATTATGCTGAGTGAAGTAAGTCAAGCAGATAGAGTCAATTATCATATGGTTTTGCTTATTTGTGGAGCATAAGGAATAACACGGAGGACATGGGGAGATAGAGAGGAGAAATGAGTTAGGTGAAATCAGAGGGGGAGATGAACTCTGAGAAACAAACTGAGGGTTTTGGAGGGGGGGTTGGGGGGATGGGTGAGCCTGGTGGTGGGTATTATGGAGGGAGTGTATTGCAGAGAACACTGTGTGTGGTAGATAAACAATGAATCTTAGAACACGGAAAAAATAAAATTAAATTTAAAAAATACTAATGTAAATGTTCAACAAACCAAGATCAAAGATATAGAACTGACAGTCCAAAACCCTTACATTTGTGATCAACTGACTCTTGACAAGGGTACCCAAACAACTCAATGGGAAAAGAACAGTTTTTCTACAAATGGTGCTGGAACAGCAGGATATCCACATGCAAAAGAATAAAGTTGATTCCTACATCACACTGTACACAAAAATAACCTCAAAATGGATCAGATGCCTAAATGCAGGAGCTAAAATTCTAAAATTCTTCAAAGAAAACATGGCGCTAAATCTTCATGAGCCTGGAGAAGACAGGAGTAGGTTTCCTAGATACAGTACCAAAACTACTATCAATGGAAGACTTCATCAAAATTAAAAACTTTTGTGGCACAAACAGTACCATCAAGAAAGCATTAAAAAAAAAAAAAAAAGACGGGGCGCCTGGGTGGCTCAGTGGGTTGAAGCCTCTGCCTTCGGCTCATGTCATGATCCCAGGGTCCTGGGATCGAGCCCCACATCGGGCTCTCTGCTCGGCGGAGAGCCTGCTTCCACCTCTCTCTCTCTGCCTGCCTCTCTGCCTACTTGTGATCTCTGTCTGTCAAATAAATAAATAAAATCTTTAAAAAAAAAAAAAGACAACCCACACAATGGTAGAGAATATTTGTAAATCTTATATCTGAGTAGGGACTTGTACCCAAAATATATAAAGAACTCATAACAACACAATAAAAAGACAAGAATTCAATTTAAAAATGGGTGAGGATCTGAATAGAAATTTCTCCAAACAGGATATGCAAATGACCAACACGTGCATGAAGATGGGCACTACATTGTTAATAATTAAGAAATGCACATCAGAACCACAATGAGAGGGGTGCCTGGGTGGCTCAGTGGGTTGGGCCTCTGCCTTCAGCTCGGGTTGTGATCTCACGGTCCTAGGATCAAGTCCCACATCAGGCTCTCTGCTCAGAGGGCAGCCTGCTTCCCTCTCTCTCTGCCTGCCTCTCTGCCTACTTGTGATCTCTCTCTGTCAAATAAATAAATAAAATCTTAAAAAAAAATAAAAACCACAATGAGATGCCATGTCAGACTTACTATGATGGCAAGGATTAAAAAAAAAAAACCAGAAACAATATTAACAAGTGTTGGTGAGGATGTGGAAAAACTAGAAGCCTCATACATTGTTGGGGAGAATGCAAAATACTGCAGCTGCTTTGGAAAATAGTTTGACAATTCCTCAAAATGTTAAATATATTGTTACCCTATGACCCAGTGATTGTCTTCCTAGGTATCTATCTAGGAGAAATGAAAAGGTATGTCCATACAAAAATGTGTACACAAATGTTCATAGCAACATTCTTCATAACAGCCAAAAACTGGAAACAGCCTAAATGTCCATCAACTGACACATAAGCAAAATGCAGTAAATACATATATTGCAATAGTAACCAGCTGTGACAGATAGAGAGACAGAAAGGAAGGAAGGAAGGAGGAAGGAAGGAAGGAAGGAAGGAAGGAAGGTTGTTACAACGTGGATGAATCTTGAAAACATTATACCAACTGAAGTGAATCACAAAAGACTACATATTATATGATTCCATTTATATGAAATGTCCAGAATAGGCAAATCCACAGAGACAGAAGGTAGACTAGAGGTTACCCAGGGCTGGGTGTGGAAGAGAAAGGGGAAGGGTGAGGAATGACTGCTAATTAGTACAGGGTTTCTTTCTAGGGTAATGAAAGCATTCTAAAACAGGGTTGCAGTGATGATTGTGCAACACTGTGACTATGCGAAAAACCACTTGAATGGTGTACACTTTAAATGGGTAAATTTTACAATATGTTAAGTATATCTCCATAAGGATACACACACCGTAAGAATGCTTCACAAACGGGGCACCTGGGTGGCTCAGTGGGTTAAAGCCTCTGCCTTTGGCTCAGGTTATGATCCCAGGGTCCTGGGATCGAGCCCCGCATCGGGCTCTTTGCTCCGCAGGGGGCCTGCTTTCTCCTCTCTATCTGCCTGCCTCTCTGCCTACTTATGATCTCTGTCTGTCAAATAAATAAATAAAATCTTAAAAAAAAAAAAAAAAAAGAATGCTTCACAAACCGGGGCTGTATTAATAGGCAACATTTATATCACGACTGGGAACAAATATAACCCAAATAAAAAATAGAAGCAAAGTCATTGTATAATGGTTTAAATACAGTGGGATCCTAATATAATACAGAATTTAGAATGATTCTGATCCTGAGAGGGGCTAGTAGCATTAAAAAAAAAAAAGTCTTCCTCACAGCTCAGTCCCACAGAAGATGAGACATAACTGCATGAACATCAGAATCTTAGTTTCACAATAGATACCAATAAATTTGATGTAGCAGTTATGGCATGTACCTTCTTTGAACAACAGACCATGGAAGATGGTTTTAAATTTATGTCAAGATAGTTTTAATTATTTCAATCTAGCTTACATAGTGGTATCTATTAGGAATTAGTTTTACGTAAATGTGTCTAAGGCAGTGATTTTGCAACGTAGACTCTATAGACTAGCAGCAACAACATTAGGGTAAACGTGCAAATTTTCAGCCATATCCCAGACGCACTGAATGAGAAAATCCTGAAGTAGGGTCTGGCCCCCTGTGAATTAACAAAACCCCGGTGGTTCCGCATGAAGGCTAAAATGAGGAAAAGCACCCCAAAGACTGCCTCACTTAATCAAGAACAAAGTCATAAGCCATGACCCATTATTCTTTTTTAATAGGATACATTTACACCATTGCGCTTGATCACTGATCAGACCATTTTTTAAGCAATTTTTCTTCCACTTAAAAAAGTCATTTCAAGGATAAATATAACCTGAAATCAAGCTCAATTATATGGTGACCAGGAATTATGAAAAGATGGGGGGTTGGGGAAAAAAACGGAGGTGTGGGTAGGATGGATGAAACAGACAAGGAGATTAAGAGTACACGTATCATGATGAGCACTGGATAATGTAGAGAATTCTTCTATCATGTTGTGTACCTAAAACTGATACAGCACCATATGTTATATTTCAATAAAATAAACAAACATAAAAATAAATAAAATGCATCTCTTCTAAATGAAAAAAATAAAGCAGGATACACCACTGTATATCACAATGTAATTTTTCCTTTACTCTGGATATGCTTAAAACTTTCACTGAACACGGATATATTTAATGTATTTCTTAAAGTTTTTCTTAGCATGGTATCATTTATGTGAGGAACATTAGGTCTTGCCTTTTTTCTCTTAAAAAAAAGGGGATCTTGTATCTGTTTGGTCTCAAATAAATTTAATCTGTTCTTCTGTATCTTTCAAAGAATGTAATAAATGGTAGATCTAAAATATAAGGAAAAATGTTTTAAATAAAATAAAAAGCAAGTAAGAATGCCTCTGAATCACTTGCCTGCTTTCCTGATACATATTTTCAGTATGAGTGTATTTACTTAATATATAGGATTTGTTCCCTTGATCCAAGATATTTCCAAAAGTCTTGAAGTTTAGAGACATTAAAACTGAGCACATCTGCATACTACCTCTGTAATTCTCCTATGCTTACTGATAGCCTTACACTGCTGTATCAGCAGCGTCCACACTACCTTCACAGACACTCTCCATAGGACTTCCTACCCTTTTTGGTCCTGAGTCTTAACCGTAAGTTCCTTACAGGCAATAATCATCCACATGAAGCTTCTGACTGGTAACTGGGCTACTTCACATCATGCCAGGGAAGCTGATGAAAGTCTTGCCCATTAGGCCTATGCTTTGTCCTTTGGGCATATCCTGAATCACCTTCCTGAATGCCTTACTTACGTGATTTTAGAGGCCTGATGTGTATTTTTCTATTTCAAACAGGGACATGAACGTGTTCAGGAAAACTTTTAGTTTCTTCATATTAGGTTTGAACTTCATAATAAAACATGGGGAAGAGCATGGATAACCCAGGACAACCAAACTGTTTGCCTCACTTGGACACTTAAATACTGAAAACTGGGCAGCCTTCCTTGCTTGGAGAAGATTTAGGCCCATTTAAATTTACCTCCAAATTCTTTAAAGCACTAAATCTGTTTAATCCTTTTTGACCTATAGTTTAAAAAGGGAAAAGAAGAAGAAACAAAACAAAAACACAGGCCTCCTACCTCAGGGTCCTTCCTCCAAAAGGAGTATTTATAATAATACATTTGTAGATGTTTTCTTCCTCCTGTTTTTAATACTGACTGAATTTGGTGACAGAAATAGGCAATACTCTCTCATTTAGCATGGAAGAATTTTAAGGTCTAATTTTCAATTTTTAAAAAATGTGTGGGTATACACAACATACACACACACACACACACACACATTCAGAATAATTTTTAAGAGTTTGCCCAATTGGATTTTGTATGGCTAAGATATAAGGGACATGCAAGAATTTTACAAAGTTTAAAAACTCGAAGATATAATTAATATCTTTTACTGAATATTCCAAAAACCATACTAAACATTTAGACATAAGCAGAGACTGAAAGTTCACCTTTCCTATGCATTGCAGGTTAAGCACATGCTTGAAAGACAAACACTGTTAGTAAAGCTCTGTGCACTGAGGTTAACAGGACTTGTGAAACCAACATTACCCAACACTTCTACGTACAGATATAGCATGCTTGGGCTGCAGAATGGGCCCTAATACCTTTAGTTCTTTAAGCCCTTGCATGTATCTCCCTTCTACATCCTGTATCTGGTCCTTAAGGTCATAGATATCCTGCAGGACATAGGAATGAACCATTGCATAAAACCATGCACAAACATATCTCAAGTCTCAAAGATCCAGATGAAAATGTGATACTTTTGCATATTCCAGACTAAAAGTAGAGAAATCAAAGTATACAAGCATAACTGTCACTCCAAACCATGGAAGAGGGCAAACAGGTCAGGGTATGTGGGGCTGGAGAAGGTCGGGAGTAATCAGCTAAAGTGTTCAATATTTTCTTGGCATTAACATGTGTTGAAACAGCTTTAGCAAAAGGGGGTGTATATGGAAAAAAGATGTATAGATTATAATATTTATAATATGTAATATTAAAAATTTTACAAGTCATTCAAATCATTTTTAATATAATGCTTCACCTAGAACTAGTAAAATGCAGTAAATTAATTATAAGCAGAAAATTTTAATGACTCATGCAAAAGTTTTTAAAACTGTAATAAATGGATATGACCAAAGTTGCCTTTTAATGACATGCTTACCAACCACAATTAATTTGGGAGAAAGTAAAGGGAAGGAAGTTCAACACCAACATTTTAAACATTATGTCAAATGAGAGAGTCTATGCTGAGGATGCCATTTAAATGATGAGAAAAGAGCACCTGCTCCAAATGTTACCATAATCCTTAAAAGTAAAACAGGTCAAATTTTAAATGGAAAATACAGTTTTCCTTATACCTGACCCTGCTACATACAATCTACTCAGATACTTGATTTAAGGAGAAAATAACTGCTGTGGTTATTTTCCCTAAGTACCATTCTGCAATAGAGATAGCACCAACTCTCCAAGGACAGTGACATATACTTCCCCTGGCCCTCTTCATTCCCTCCTTAGTAGGTTTGTCTGTCTTCTGCTCATTGATTCATTCAACAGACACACATTGAAGGGCTACAAGGAGCTGAGTGTGAGGATACCAAAACTCTCACTTTCTTTAAGGAAGTCAAGTCATTATCTTAAAGAAGCAATAAAAGGAAACAGCAAGCACAAGCTAAGCTGTGAGGCTGGAGAGCCTTGTCCTCCTGTGTTCTGTCCCACTGAAGGCAAGAGTTTATCTTACTCAACTCTGCACCCCCAGCACCTACGCCTGGTACTTAGTAAGAGCTTGGTAAATACTGATACTTGCAAAGTCATGCCATGTCGGCCAGGCGCAGCTCTCCTTCCTCCTGACTGCCACTGCTACAAACCTCGCCACCCTCTAACCACTGGCCTGCTTTTATAGGCTACCCGCCTCATAAGCCGGACTCCGGCTCCAACCCACCGACAGTCTCACTCAGTACCCCAGTCCCCACCTCCTCCTCACTGCGTCAGCACCACGGAACCTCCTCCACATTCGGCCTTCCTCCATCTGCACCCTAGGCATTCCTCTCGCCCACTCAGGCACTCTGCTCCTCGGTCACCCTCTCCTTCCTTTGCCTTCCTGTCCTCTCTCTACTGGCTCAAGTCAAGCAATGAAAATAATATTTAAGCCCACCTTTGAAAGAAAACACAACCTCTTAGTCTCCTATCTCTTTCTGCTATTGACCAATCAATTCCAGTATTCTCTTCAGAGCGAGTTTCCTGCATCTTCTTCCATCACAGTTTTGACTTCACTATTCAGCCACAGGGTACTGCTCCCCTCACCTCCAGTGTTTCCTCCAATCTGGGGTTACTCTTTACGAATGTAAATCAGATACTCTCAACTCCCCTTTTTAATATCCCACAGTTGCCAGGAGAAAACCAAATGCATCCTAGGCTCCCATACATGAGGCTTTGTGGACTGGGCCACGACTACTTCCTGGTCTGCCCCCTCGCCCACCTCTCCTCCTCACTTCTCATCCTACCCTCAGGCAACTGTAGTATACCAGAAGGTTCTTTGAAGTTCTGAGAAAGGCTTTGCCCTTCAACTATGCCTGGTTCATTTGTATTCTTCCTTCATACCTTAGCTCAGAGTGTGTCTCCTCTGAAAAGCCTTTTGTTATCTCTTCTCCTAGTCCAACATAGCTGACCCATCTCTGAATGGACTTAATAGCCCTATTCTGGCTATGACCTAGTATCACACAACTTGGTTTTCCTGGTTTCTATCAGTTTGTCTTCCCTATGAAACAGTGAACTCCTGAAGTTCACAGTGTGTTTCACAGCCTGAATCTCTGGGGCCAAGGGCTCAATAAATGTTGAGTGAATGAATGAATGAATGAATGCAATTTTTATTACTACACTTCCCCCATTGCTCGAAAATAGCAGGTTCAGCAAATAGACATTCAAATACATTTTGAAAGTCCTCATTTTTAGCAAGATGGGATTGGGAGGGAGATAAACCATAAGTGACTCTTAATCTCACAAAACAAACTGAGGGTTGCTGGGGGGAGGGGGGTTGGGAGGGGGGATGGGGTTATTATGGACATTGGGGAGGGTATGTGCTATGGTGAGTGCTGTGAAGTGTGTAAACCTGGCGATTCACAGACCTGTACCCCTGGGGGAAAAAATATATCTTTATAAAAAATAAAATTAAAAAAAAAAAAAAGAAAGAAAAAAAAAAAAAGTCCTCATTTTTAAAATAAAAACGTTAATAAGATGGGGACTCAACCCAGGGGACTCAACTCCGGTATTTCTCTTATCCCAAATATCACTACACTGATCATGGAAAATTGAGAGATAACTATATTCAAGCAGCCAAATAATACCATAATGGCTCAAAAGACTAACAATTTCTAGAGTCTGATTCCTTGCATATTCATATATTTTCCATTTAAAATATGGCCAATTATTTCTGAGAGAATCACTTTACATACGTTAACAAGTTTTTTGGCATCTGTAAATTAGCAGAACTCATTCCAATATCATCAAATGTTCAGGAAAGAGAACAGAAAAATGAATTAACTAATCTCCTTCCTTTCAGACCTGAGTCACATTCTTGAACTATCTTTAACGATTTTTTTTAAAGAACTCATAGTCCTTTCCTTTTTACTAAGTCACATTAAATGTTAAATAGTTCCAGTATACTATAACACAAAGAAGCCAAAAAACAGTTTTGAAAAAGCAAACCGAAGACTGCAGTTTACCCGCAATTCACTTAATGAGGTGTCTGGATCTACTAAGCTGCTGGTGTCTCCACTCCCTCGTCTGGATGAGTTTCCACTTAGAGGGGTTGTTGCTGAGGCAGAATTCCGAGATGAAGGCTGGAGAAAGAGGAAGGGGACACATCTAAGTCTTCTTTCTTTCCAAATACGTTTGCCGTAGAAACTAAAATGGGCTTGGGGTGAGATGTGTGTGAGAACGTGCAGACAATGTAGACGCTGTGGGAAGAAGGTATCCAGAGAAGGGCCCAGGCATACTACGCATAACTTTGTTCACTTCAACACTTTACTGGAATCTAGAATTCATAATAACAAAGGAAATAGTTTGTGTGCAAGTTGTTTTCTAAGTTTATCTTTGCTATATCGTAAACAACACTGGGTGGGGTGAGCACATCAGATTAATTTAAAACAGTTCAGGACTTATAACTGGTATGCTGATTAGCAGTCCTACTGAGTTCCTAAAGCTGCTCCTTTAGAATCTTTTCTTTTTCTAATACTTGGATAGAGCTGGAAACAAAATTGGCAGCTCGAGCAAATTGTGTATCACTATGAATTTAGACTGCTAGTCCCACAGTTAGTTTAAATGTGAGATTATGCTACTGGATTAATAAATGACACACACCTACGCTGTCCGATACAGCAGCCATTAGCCATGTGAGGCTACTTAGCATCTGACATATGGCTAGTGCAAATTGAGATTTTATTTTTAATTGTATAATACATAACCAGATCTCAAAGGCTTTGCATGGAAAAAACGAATGTAAAATATCTCATTAATACTTTTTCACATAGATTACATTGACAAATTTGGGTTAAATAAAATATACTATTTAAATAAATTTTACCTACTTCTTTTAACTGTTGTTAATAAGGCTACTAGAAAATTTAAGCTCAACATATATGTGGGGTACATTTGTGGCTTGCCTATATCTCTATCAGACAGAGCTGGTGTATCTTTTTTGGGTATAGCATGAAATTAATCCTGATAATTTCCCAAAGATGACTTTCTAAAAATATACTAGAAGTTAGAGACTTTAACACAAAACAACTCTTAGAAAAGGATTATTTTACCCCAAAAAAAAGATTAAGTATGGGGGGGACCTTCAGAGTTTGTCACCACCATTCCTAAAGACACTTCATTTTCAGTGTTTAATGGCTTCTTCTCAAGATCAAATTCTAGGGAATGAAAATCGAAAGAGCAGCCAAAAGCTTAAGAAGTGACATTCAAGGAAATAAAATGCAGTGTCTTTTCTCTTCCCAGTGCTTCACATGATTCAACCTCAGAGGAATTTGGGGGGTCAAGGACAGGAAATAGATGAAGAAAGGAAGAGTAGCTCCACCAGTTCAAATGTAGTAAAATAATGAAATAGCAATAGAAATTAAGTTTAATTGACCTTGAGAATCTAATTCCCTTAGGAATTTATGTACTCACCCTTGTGTAATTCTCAGCATACTGTTTGTCAGATTTTTCATCCAACTAGAAAAGACCAGAGATAAAAATCAGTAAAGATGCTTAGCATGCTGGGGGTTTTTGAGGGAAAAAAGAAGTGACCTCATTTGAGTTCTCCAAGTTCAACCGATGTTTGGAACCTAAAAGTAAACAAATTGAAACTGAAATAAAAGTTGAGACACATAAGACAAAATGTCAAGAACTTTAGTTCTTATCCTAAGGATGACATGCGGTAAGCAAGCTATCCTTATGCAAAAGTTTAGAATTTGCAGATTTTCTTTTCATGATATTTGAAACATGTTAAAGAAAAACATGTAAACTTGAGCTTTGGCAATGGAAATATTAACACCAAAAAAAACCCTTGTACACATGAAAAGGAAAAGACTGGTAAAATCAAAAGCCAAAAACTTTATTATCTAAACATTATTAGGACACAGGACACAAAGATTAAGATGAGTACACTTGGCCAAAAAAGTTCAAATTTGATTAAAGCAAGTTAAATATATCATCAAAAAAGATTTCCCCCACAGCTCTTAAGGATTCAGTTCTTTGGCTTTTTTTGTTTTTTTACTTTTTTAAGCAATGCATGCCCATGTGTCAAAAAAAAAAAAAAACCCAGCACAAAAGGGTATGTGAAGTATAAACCTCTCTCCCTAATATACCAAACCCAAACCTTCCAATTCTTCATCCAAGGGCAACCAGCCCCCAAGTCTTTAACAAACGCTAAAGTTAGGTCCCAAATATATTCTATATCTTCTTTTTTTCCAAGTTTCAGAGATTAAAGAAACTACCTCATTTTTCTTCTTGGCATTTATTACTCCCTAATCCCATGATATTTATTCACTTATTTATCATTTGATCTCTTTCTCTTTATCGTATGCTCTATGTCTCTATGATCATTTCTGCATTCCTAACATCAAAAATAGCACCTAGCATACAGAAGGATTCACAGTTTGCTGGGCAAATGAGTAAATGAATCATACCCCATCTGTATTTACAGACTTACTTCATTTACTTTAACAACAGCATAGTGTCCTATCGTCTGGGCACGTCTGGGCACACCATAACGGAGTTATCCTATCTTCTGCAGATAGGATTAGTGTTTCTTTCATAAAGAGAGGTACCTTAGAGGTCTAATTCCAAACCCTGACCTTACAGCTGAGGAAAGAGAAATTCAAGAGGTGAAAGATTTTCCTCAAAGTTGCACGACTACTAAACGTCAGGGCTGAGTCCAGATCTCGGGTTTGTGAATCTTTAACCCTGTGTTCATATAATTTACCTGTATATACTGCCCCAATTACTATTAGGGGGAAAAAATCACAGAGAGATTTAACTAAATGAAAATATATCGAGACTCCAACTCCTAGATCAACCCTCCCAGCCCAATCTAGAAAAAAGATTTTAACTTTCCTCAATTAATTATTAAAACACAAAATGTCATTATTTGTCTCTATTCAGATCACTTCATTCTAACTTCCTCATATTTGAAAGTTTTCCTGTTCTTTTTCATTGCCCACATTTATCATGTTCATTTTTTTCCTCTCAGTGTTTATATAAAAGGTGTTTACTTTATTCAGTAATATAAATACTATCTTGGACTTTGATCTTTTTGCTTCTTTTTATTGTAATACTCTTAAAAAAGAATTGATTTTAGTTAACTTTGATTTTTTTAAAAATCACATATAAAATGTTTTTGAAAACAAACCATTACAGTAGTTTTTAATACTGGCAATTACTGTCGCAAAAAGGAATAACCTTCCATCACATTTATACTAGTAAACACAATGCCTGATACTTAAGAGTGTTATTCTTCAGAATCAAAGAAATACTGTAACTGAATAAAACAGCCATATATTCCTCAGAGTATATCCCACCCCTCTTCTACTAATGAGTTAAACAGAAAAGCAACATTCAGAAACACTCTTCTAAGTCTATCTGAAATCCTGGCTCACAAAACGACCCCCCAAATCCACCTATTTTTCTTAACAGTCAACTTGGAATGATCTTACATTTCAGAAGCTGCATCACTGAACTAGTCCATCGCAATGTTGACTATATTGCTTTCACTGTCTTCTGACAGATCCCAAGAGTCGCAACCCAAACTGATCATGCGCCAAACCTCAGGGATTGTTAAGGCAGCAAAAAATGCCAAGAGCAGCCATGCCGCAGTCCAGTCATTTGCGCTGCAGTGACTTGGCCAGAGACTCCAGTTCTCACTTCTCAGATTGTGTTATACTATGTGCTGTCTTCCATTTAGACAAAAAGCTACTTGAAACCTGCTGTTCTAAAAGCCCCAGTGCTCTCTCTAGCAGCCCGGAGTGCTGTACAACAGCTCTGCAATGACACACTAGTTTCCATGATGATGACCCAGAGTCTGCCAGATCCTGAAAAGGCTTTTCAATGGAATAATATTTAATCATGCTTAATATATTAAGGTATAAAATAGGGAAAGGTTGGTTTTCAGCTATAGGATGAGCAAGAGGATCTAATGCAAAACATGGTGACTACAGCTGATAAATAAAAAACTGTATAAGTAACAGTGGAAAATATGAATATGTACTAATATATAAAACATTTCTAAGATTAGTAAGTGAGAAATCAGAAAACAAAGGCTGCATATACGATATGGTCACAATTCTGTAAAACATGCAAATTAAACTGAGATAGAAACAATACTAAAAGTAAATCAAGTTGCTAAAAAAAAAAAAGTAAAAAAAAAAAAAAAACCTCACAGCAGAAAAACACTAAGCAAAGCTTCCCCTCCTCTGTCCCCCGCAAATAAGGCCCTCGGGTCTTAGTCATTAATGTTAACTATAGCTTACTATTCTCAAAAAGCTTCAAGTAAATATCATGTCATTGTATCCTTAAATAATTAAATAGGTAATTTTCCAATCAAGAAAATGGCTTCTTTGATAGCTGGAACTTGGAAGTCAGCTAACAAGCTTGCAGTATTTCATATTAGTATTAATGTGAAAAGAAGAGCAAGGGAATCTGGGTGGCTCAGCTGGTTAAGTGCTGGACTCTTAATTCCGGCTCATGTCATGATCTCAGGGTCCTGAGATAGAGCCCCATAACCAGCTTCCTGCTTAGTAGGAAGTCTGCTGGAGATGCTATCTCATTCTCCCTCCCCCTTCCTCCCTGTCCCCTCTGCTAGCACACACTCCTGTGTGTACACTGTCTCTCTAATAAACAAATCAAAAGAAAAAAAGAGCACATGGCAGCAGACTTTATATTCCAATTTGAATGCTTAAGAGTTCTAAAGTAGTATTTTCCTAAAGGATTTCAAATTATAATACTAGTAAACAAAACCTTAAATATAATCTTTCCCACATTTCAGTGATAAATGCCTTTGCCTTATTTATGCCTGGGACATCTGAAAATGCTTTGCTCTTGACATTAGAGATTACGGATTGTTTCTCTTTAAATCTAAACTCCTTAAATATTTGTTGAAATTAGTACATGTGAGAAATATTTCTTAGAATACAAACTTGTCAAATCCTTGAAACTCCTTGTTTCTTCTTAAAAGAAAGATATTTATTTATTCTCTAGTTAAAAGGCCCTTTGAACTTCATTTCAGCATATGGCTACTTAGTTCGACAGATAACTTTTCGTTACTAAAATGGTAAAATACAATTGAACCTTTTATATTGAAATAGAAAATTCTAGTTGTAAATACATTCTGAATATGTCATTTAAAAGAGTTGTTTAGAGGGGTGCCTCAGTGGCTCAGATGATTAAGCATCTGCCTCTTGATTTTGGCTCAGGTCATGATCTTGGGATCATGAGATCAAGCCCCAGGTCAGGCTCTATACTGGAAGAGTGTGGAGCCTGAGAGTGGAGCTGGCTTAAAATTCTCTTTACCCCTCTCCCTTCCCCTTGTGTGCACCCACTCTCTCTCTCTCAAAAGGAAAACAAGATTTTTTTTAAAGAGTTGTTTAGAAATAAAGACCTGTATCTTGTTCTCATTATACTTTTTTTCTTAAAAGGGTATCAGAGATTTGAGGGCACCTGGGTGGCTCAGTCGGTTAAGCATCTGCCTTCTGCTCAGGTCATCATCCCAGAGTCCTGGGATTGAGTTCCACATCTGGCTTCCTGCTCAGAGGGGAGTCTGCTTCTCCCTCTCCCTCTACTCCTCCTCCCCTCTGTTCGTGGTGTGTGTGTGTGTCTCTCTCTATCTCTCGCTCTCTCAAATAGATAAAATCTTTAAAAAATTAAAAAAGAATATCAGAGACCTGATATAATTGAGCTATGCATATCTGATATATATAACTTTCAGCATGCAGCACCCATTCTGCCAACTGTAACAGTAAATCTAATGTAATATATATGATCAGAAGATAAAGGTATTCATATTAAGGCATTTGAATTAACTTAATGTATTTATAGTTTCATTTAATATAGTTCTTGGAGTCTAATCCTCTAACTTCTAATGTTATATATGGATGTGATAATATGATCAAAAATTCTGTCTGATGGTTAAAAAAGATAAACAACCAGAAAAGTGAAGACTGATTCTCTAACCACAGAAGGGAAGGGAGCAATTAATTTTAATAATCTCCTAAAGCAAAAATGGCTGAGGATTTCATTCAGAAATGGTCTATTAACAATCAGTAAAATGAAAGCACATTTACGTCCTTTTCCCCAGCCTGATGGATGGGACAAAGGAAGAGTGCAGAAGAAAAGACCAGAGGCTAGAGCAATCATAAAAACTATATAATGAGTTTTGGCAAATCTGGGCCTGGCACCCTTTTTCAGCACTCTTAGTTCAGAAGTTATAAATGCAGCAGAATGTATACATATGTCTGATCCACGATGGGGAAGCCTAAAAGTGTCTTTTAAAATTTTGAATTCATTGTCAGCATTTTAAAATCAGGATATTTCACATAAAAATGCAAATTCCCGGGACGCCTCGGTGGCTCAGTTGGTTAAGCGGCTGCCTTCGGCTCAGGTCATGATCCCAGCATCCTGGGATCGAGTCCCACATCAGGCTCCTTGCTCGGCAGGGAGCCTGCTTCTCCCTCTGCTTCTGCCTGCCTCTCTGTCTGCCTGTGCTCACTCACTCTCTCTCCCTCTGTCTCTGACAAATTAAAAAAAAAAAAAAAAAAAAAGCAAATTCCCTAGCTTATCATATCAAAAAGTGGTGTGGGCGTGATCTTACTAAATCAAGTTCACTTTCCATTTATCTACAATGAGTTGCATGGCTATCCTTTAAAAGAAATAATATTAGAAAAAATTCTTGCTCTAGAGAGAGGAACAGCAAATATTTAGGCTTTGCCATACGGCAAAATTAAGGATATCATATAGGTACTTAGATAATCATGAAAAAAATATATATATAAACCATTAGCTCACAGGCTATAAAATAAGAGGGTGCTGGCCAGATTTGCCAACCACTGCTCTAGAGAGTCTTTTAGGTTATAAGGCATACAGTGTGATGCTTTGATATAATGATGCATATATATCAAATCGTCACGTTATATACCTTAAATATGTACACTTTTTATTTAAAGATATGTAAATAAATCAAAATAACTATCTGGGTAAAGAAAAGAGTTATATTAAATTAGCAGAAGTAGGGAGACTTTTTTTTAAACTATCAAGCTTCTCACTGCTGTGTAGTTACTAAAATAAATTGCCAAGAAATACATGTAAGGAGGGCAGAACCACCATCACTAATTAAAGGCTAACAGAATTCAAAGTTTTTAAGAAAAAAGAGATGTATAAAATAAATTAAATTGTTTATATCTACCCAAAAAAAGGCTGCTAAGCAAATCATTAAAATGAGCAATATTTCAGGGGAAAAACTTGGGAGCCAATCTTCCAACTCGGCATACAGATTCCCTGATCTGACAGAGAGCAAGACAGGGCTGCTATACAGCCAGGTTTGAGACCCAACAATCTGGAATACTTAAGGACCACAATTAAAATTATTTTCCAAATTAAAGTCATTCAAAACTAGCTATTTAAATACAACCAGCAATGTGCTAAATATAAATAATATCTCTTCATTCAAAAACTAACTTTTTGGGGTGCCTGGGTGGCTCAGCCGGTTAAAGCCTCTGCCTTCAGCTCAGGTCATGATCCCAGGGTCCTGGGATCAAGCCCCACATCGGGATCTCAGCTTGGCGGGGAGCCTGCTTCCTCCTCTCTCTCTCTGCCAGCCTCTCTGCCTACTTGTGATTTCTGTCTGTCAAATAAATAAAATCTTAAAAAAAAAAAAAAAAACCTAACTTTTTGGCTAGGAAACACTGTCTCTCACCTGCTTCAAAGTGCTTGAAAGTCAGACAGCACTGGTCTATGGGCAAAACAGAACTAATTCCAGCAAAAATAGGAGGTGTGAAAGAGAAAAAGAGGCTATTAGATCAGGCAGAGGGGTATCTGCTGCCTGGAATTCTTTCATTAAGAGAAATGCCTCGAGGCATCTCTACTGGACAATCTTTCCTAAATTTAGTTCCCAATAAACGTGAAAGCAATGGATAGGCATTTCTTCAAGATAATGTCATAGTCCAAATGATTAAAATCTAGTCAGATTCTTCCCAGTTACCGTAAATTAGTGATACTTTACTAAATAGTATTTTCTATTGTTCAACCTTCAAAATCTGTCTAGTACTTTATATACTCACTGAAATAAAAAGGGAAGAAAAAATTTAAGACCGATCAGGAATATCTATATATGGGCTAGGTATTAGGTTTTAAGGAATTATTTTTATTTTTATTTTTATTTTTATTAGGTATGATAATGGTAGAGTGAACATGAAAAAGAAATTCTCAATTGGAGATGCATAATGAACTACTGGGAAATACCATGGATCTGCTTTAAAATAATTCAGAGGAAAAGAAAGACATGAAGCAAAACTGGCAGAACACTGGTAGTTGTTGGAGCTGCTGATGGGTTCTACAGGGGAAAATTTTCACAGAAAAGTTTTTGTGTTTTTTTTAATCAGAGCATATCAGTATATACATTCCAAAACAAAACAAATAACTATATTTTAGGTTACTGTATTCCAATAAAAATTAAAGCAGCAAATTAAGATCCTAACTTTCAAATAGCTAATGTATTAGCCATTAGTCACAGGCTGAGACACCACAACCACTCCCATGCAAGACACTCACGCTGATCAAATCAGGGATATTGACGTCATCCACCTCAGAGACTACACTCCCCCTGCGATTGGAGCGACTAAAATAATCGGCGGTAGAAACCTTTCAATCAGAAAAAGTGACATGCTTTAAAGGTTAAGAAAAAAGAGAGGAAAAGGATAAGAACAATGGCATGCAAGGGAAAAAAATACTGTTTTGGTGCTTGATCTAGTATCACGCAATGAGGAAACCGCTGCAATGAACCTACTCAAAAAAGTAGAAAAGAAATGTAAAAGGGGTCCTAAAGGAAATCACAGCTCCCTAAAATAAGCCTTTGTGCACCTTAACTCAAGCTGTAGCCCACAGAGATCATGTAATGGCTAAGGGCCGGCCAAGGCTCCCATGTTGAGCACTTGCATCATCCTCACTAAGAGAGTACTGACCTAAGGCCTCTACCATATTTCAAAAATGTACAGTGCATTATAGCTCTCAACTCTGTTAAGCATATATATGCTCAACACAGCGTTCTTCGCAGGTTATTTACTGCACCTTTTGCCCAATTTCTACATTTCCCTCTTTTTCATATTCCTCCAGACCAGGATCTCTGGGGCAAAATAATGAAGAACTACACTGGCCCCTTTCTGGTTCCCTACTCAGTCTTTTCCCACCTGAGACTTTGTCATTGGCCTAGAAAGCTCTTCTCCGGCTCTTCAAGCAGCTGGCTCCTCCCATTTCAAGTCCAGCTCAAAGGTCACTTCCCTTGGGGAAGCCTTCTCTGGCCATCCCATCCAAAGGGAGGCACACCTGCACATGCATCCCTCAATGTGCTCCGTCCTATCACCTGTTTTTCTCTTCACAATCCCTGGAGTTACTTCACTTTTCTTCCTTTGTTTACTTGTTTATTTTCTATTTCTTTCACTAGGATATATGCTCCATTAAGTCAGAAATCCAGTATGTCTAGCCTACCATATTATTCACAGAACTTAATACAGTGCCTCACATATAACAGGTACTCCATAAACATTTGTCGAATTAATAAGTAAGGAGTATTTTGGGGCGCCTGGGTGGCTCAGTGGGTTAAGCCGCTGCCTTCAGCTCAGGTCATGATCTCAGGGTCCTGGGATCGAGTCCCGTATCGGGCTCTCTGCTCGGCAGGGAGCCTGCTTCCCTCTCTCTCTCTCTCTGCCTGCCTCTCTGTCTACTTGTGATCTCTCTCTGTCAAATAAATAAATAAAATCTTTAAAAAAAAAAAAATAAGTAAGGAGTATTTTTTACCTCACTCATCAGATTTCCTTACCTCAGCTCTGTCTGATTACCTTATTTAAAAACTTTTCCCTTCCAGGAAGGGAATCTGAAAGTCCATCCGGAGACAAAGGCGGCTTACAAGTGTGAAGTTTTGCTAAGGGCTAGTGCAGTCAAGCAATACTATTTTTATTTATAGTAATTATAATACAACTTAGATTTAGATATACCTACTATTTTAATGGTTCCTACTGTCTCAAGAATTTTGTAGTTATTCTCCATATAGTAATTCATTTAATGCATATATATTAAGCTTACCTACAAGGACAATTATTAAGATCCCCATTACAAATAAATTGCCACTAACGCAACTAATAGGTTGTAGAAGTGGCTCAAACCAGGCATCATTACTTTAAAGTACCTGCCTGCCCTTTCTACTCCATCACTCTCCAAAGGGCTTTCAGGTGTTCTGGCTTGTTTTTTCTCCTTCAGCTCTGAGGATGAGCATTAACTGTCTCACCAACGGACCACAACTGCCTTAATTAGATCACTGCATTTTTGGCAACAAATCTCACAAACACTTGGTGTTCCCCTTTCCTAGGACATCTTCAGGTTTATAGTCGTTCACAAAACATGGCTCTTTTCTAGCTCTAAGCTGACATATCATCCTTATCAATGTAATTTTCAAGTCAATTCTCAAATATAGCAAAAACATCAGCTCTTTGAAAAACTTCCAACATCATCAAAAGAATAATCTGAAATTACATAATTTGTATTTTGACGTAGCTATTTGTTGCTTCTACAATTATTATGATAGTTGCATTTTTAACCAGAATTTTTTACCAGGATTTCTAAATTTTGCCATCAATGACGCTTAAAAAGTTCTCAGGTCTTAAAAGACGTATGAACTATAAATAATACATCTCAAATTCACAGTGAAGAAAGCAACTCATGGCAACATGATCTGTAATCCATAGTTACAAGTTTTATGCAAAGAGGAGCATTCATTTTGCTGGAGAAACGTTTTTGTTTCTGGTGAATTGTGCACATAAATACATGCACATAAAACAGCAACAAAGAATAAAAAGTGAAAAATCCTTCAAATACACAAAGACCAGCACCTAAGAGGTGTAAAGAGGCAAGTTACTGATGAAAGCTTCCATAGCCCACAGAGAATACATATTCACAGGGACACATTTTTTAAGGCAAATTATTCATATAAGCTAAATTTGAGGAAACTGCTCATTTTTGTCAAATGCAAATTTCACTTTCCAGTAGAGTTCATGGGATCACATATAGGGGGGCAATTTAAAAACTTATAAGTGTATGAGTCTGCATACAAACCACGCTCACCACACTGTCCCTTCGCCCACGACTGGCACGACCAGAAGACGCAATGCTTGCAGTGTCATCATCGGGAAACTACAGATATTAAAAGCAGATAATGAAAAACATGTGATGCCACTACAGATCTTACCTGGCTGTAAGCACATTAGGCAAGGTTTGGGGAAGCATGCAATTACTCTCCAAGAGCCTATCGCTGGCACCAGCTATTGTGCACCGTCAGACAGAAAAGTGGCTTCTAAGTGTAATAAACCATCATTGAAAACCAAATGGTATTTCCAAAAAGCACACAGAATAAAATACTACTTTATCTTTTATTTAAGTTACAGAAAAAAGAGGACAGGACTGGAGGGCTAGGGCATAAATAGACCAACAAAAAACAGCTAGGGATTTCATGCTTTTTAACCACTAGGCCCTTTGGGAAGCCCATCAGGGGGTCAACAAGTATACTTAATGCATAAGTTTGGGAGAAAAAAATATAAGAATATCTTCAAGTGAAGTACGTCAAACACGGAATTTCCTACCAGCAAGGACTGAAATGATGATTCTTATTTTCCTTTATTCATTCCTATGCAATGAGTGGAGATATTTCTAACATCACCCTAGAGTTTTCTTCCTATTTCATAAGCAGCAGGAGGCTCATCTTCCATTGTGTATAGGTTACCTCTATTCTGACATCACTGAGGAACCATTCTGGCATCACCAAGATATAACTTTGAACCCAACTTGCAAATGAAACAACATGTAGCCAGCACACAAGGACAAGGTTCTACACTTGACGGAAAATATATTACCATGATTTTATTGGCAAGGGGCCATAACATTGGTACATTAAAAATGCTACCAGGTCCAAGGACTGCCAAGTGGAATTTTATTACAGAGTGAGGTAAAAGTAAACTTCCTACTTATATCAAAAAGCCTTTATCTCCTAAACATTCCTGTGTACATTTTCATTAAGAATAGGAGTGGAATTCTTGAGAAGTGCCTCTTGGAAATGGCAGGAGAACAGAGCCCAATATGTATGTAAAAGAAAACCCATTTTGGCTCACCTATTCCACTCCACAAAGCAATTTGTATTGACCATTAAGAAACTGCTTTAATAATTTCTCCTATTTGACACTGTCAAGAATAACAAAGTAGTTCCTAAAGTCAACATTTGCCATTGGAAATGTAAATTAGTATATTCTTCTTGGCGGGCAATATGGCAATATGCCATCATAATTTAAACATATATACATCATTTATTTATTTTTTGACCCCATCATATATATAAATATATATATAAATATATATATAAACATATATATAAAGTAAATTTCTAATCATTAATTAGAAATTTACTTTATATGAGATCTATTCATAAGTACACAAAAATATATACGAAAGTCCACTATGCAAGTGTTTGCTGTAGCAAAAATCTAGCAACCTAAATATCCATCGACAGGGAGTGGGAAACACAAGCTTCCAGTTATATAATGATCAAGTGACGAGGACAAAAGCTACAGCATAGAGAATCTAGTCGATGGCACTGTAATCACATTGTATGGCGACAGATGGAAGCTACACTTGTGGGGAGCACAGCATAATACAGAGTTGTCAAATCACTAGGTTGTACACCTGAAACTAATGTAACCCCACCTTGAGTGTCAACTATACTTCAATTTAAAAACAAAAAATCAAAATAATACCTACCAAAAAATTAATATATCCAAGAAATCTTGAAAAAGAAATGTGCATCCCATACACTAGTGGGATAATATACTGCCACTAAAAAGAATGTGCTGACACAAAACTATCTCCAAAACGCATTCAGTAGAAAAGGAGACATATGGAAAGGGTCAGGAGACTTTTACTTTGGACTTTCCTTAAGCTAATATTACTTTTATAACTTAAAAAAATGTTTTAATATTCCAGAAAGATTAGGTGATTAGAATTGTCCCAGTTTTGTCTTTTATGTAAACAGTTGGGTTTTTTTTTTTAAAGATTTTATTTATTTATTTGACAGAGATTACAAGTAGGCAGAGAGGCAGGCAGAGAGAGAGGAGGAAGCAGGCTCCCTGCTGAGCAGAGAGATCGATGTGGGGCTCGATCCCAGGACTCGAGATCATGATCTGAGCCGAAGGCAGAGGCTTTAACCCACTGAGCCACCCAGGCGCCCCTGTAAACAGTTTTTAAAAGCTGGCTTGTTTTATTACTTCTCCTTTCACTCCATTGACTGAAGTGCTAGCAAGTGAAATGGCTCAATGCAGGAAGCCGAGACAGAAAGGAGAAACATAGGACAATCAACCTGTATAATGAGTTATCACTGCTGAAAAGATAAGAAGTTCACATTAAAAAAATACACATTTTTTAAAACTTCTAAAGGCACTGAAATTTCATTTCAGAAATTATGTGCTAAGTCAAATTCACAAAGTAAACACCAATTAGGACAAATTAGTATACTTGAGTTTGGGTACTTAAGGAAAATGATTATCCATGCCAAGAGAGTGAACACACATTCTTAATATTCCGAATTGTGAGCACAGATTAAGGAAACAACCCAAAGTATCTAAAAAGCATGCAAAGAGACCAGACAGCTCACCACGGGACTGCTTCGGGCCGAACTTGCTCTTGATGAGTAGTAACTGTATTCAGATGGCTATAAAGTTTCCAAGAAGAAAGGTTTTACAATAATGGTCAGCTCCTTTTCCTGCTGGGGGAATACATTTGTGACCCTGGATCTAAGTGGCCACTGGCTGCCGGGGAGAAGCTGACTGTTAATCCCAGGTCTAGAATTGTACTTCCCTCCCAACCCTCCAGATCTAGCAGCCCTTGGCTGGAGGGTGAGGAGGGGAAGGGGACACCCTGAGGAGCGCTGCTCCCATCCTCTTCCTCAGGGACTAATGAGCCCAAAAAGAAGTTTTTTCCACCTATATTCCCTTCATACTGTGAGCCATCATTTTCAGCAGGCAGTTCCTCACAACTTGGGTGAGAGTCACAACTGGTCAGCTCATGGGTCACAGCTTATAGAGCAATTGCAGGTGAGATTAAATGACTTTTTCTTTGTAAGTAAACTGTGCCCACCTACACAAGCCCCCCCCATCACCTCCCCCTGTTTGGACTTACAGTTCGAGACCCATAAGGGTTATATAATCCACCATCATACAATGACACCTAAAGAACAGAGGAAATACCACTCATCTATTTATTCAGGCATCAAAGTTGTTTTGGAAAATGTCACAATTTCTTCACAGTACTCAGTTCCAAAAAAGCATTGTAGAATGGTGTGTCAGGTGAGAATACTCACTGATTGCATAAAGTCCTACATCAGTCCCAAAACTTCAAACTCATACTTCATTTAAAAAGCACCATTACAGTATTTCTTTTCATCATCATGTTATGAAACTAGGAGAAGGAACTTTTACAAATTTATTCTCTCAAAAGAGCAAAATGAGCAAAAATGGAAAGTGAGGGACACACAGCATTTTGCCCATTGGCACAATAAAATGAAACTACAAAGCCTCACATTGCCAGTCTACTCGAACGGGCCACAGCACAACAAAGCAACAGCCTGAAAGCAACCAGCTCACAACTTGCACATTACACAGAGATAACGGCTTTTGCTTTCTAGTCAGCTTGCTTTATTAGACAGAGCCTAGTCTTAACATGGCCAAACCACAGTTGTCCCAAAGAAAAATACGACATCGGTGCATGGGCAACCATTTCACAAAGTATAAAGTGTAGTGGGGCCCATGCAAGTTTGTCTTCTCTACGGGAAACCAACTGTAAGCAAGGGCCTACCAATGGCCAGCAGTATCTGGAAGATAAGGCTGTTTTTTTCCTTACTACCCGAAAGGTTCTCATCTGAAGCACTGGCAGCACATTCTGCAGTGTAGGCAGCATTAAAGCCATGTGTCCTTGACTATTTTGTAGGAAAGCTGTCAAGCCAGGGTCAGCACCATGACAGTGGCTCCACCAGGAGTACACACATTGGAAGAGAAAAATACAAACCAGACTGGTACTTCTCAGCAGACCAGAATTTGCAGTAGAGGAGGCCTATGAAAAAAGCGCATGATTTAACCCAAAGAAAAGCAACTGGTAGCTCTGACGGCAACATGCTTCTCAGAAAGTACTAACCCTGGTACTCTTTGATGTCGCCAGAGGGTCACTACACAGGGAGGAAGACTGTTAAGAAACAAAAAACAAAACAGAACCAGATAATTCAGCAAAAGGAGACTTGGTCTCTCCATCACGAGAGCAGAAGCTGTTTATTCTGTACTGCATCATAATTCATTAGCATTTCCTGAGTGCTAAACGAGGTTAAGTAACATGTAAGGTGAGAAAAACTTAGCCATTAGAAATCTTTTTGAATACCCATTTTAAGGGATGAGAGAAACACCTAGAAAAGTTTTCTATAAAGGTGTTTTAAGTCCTACTGGGTTTTCAATAATAATGCTAGGAGATAAGGTGGCAAACTCAGAAAACACTCAAGAAAAGAGGGCCATCCACGGGGAGTACGGAGGTCAGTGGCCACACCCGGGTCACCAGTAGTTCCTGAGACACGTTTAAGACCTCACGGCAGGGGTCTGATGAGCTTGGCCTGGTTGCTGAGGAAGCAGGTAAATGACCTCCAAGTTATCACTACAAGTACTTTTTTCCAAATAGATTAGAAACCCTGTATTTCAAAACAGGCCATAGACAAACTGTCTTAGTTTAATCAGAAAAAACGGACTTGTCACAATGAATCCAAGGCACTAACAAGGCATAGCATTTTTAAAAATGGACTTAATTTTTCTACTGTCATTTGAAAATAATTTTCAACTCTTTTTTCCAAGCCCATCAGACAGGGCAAATAAGAGTATCTAGGTTGTGTGGGCAGGTTTTGACAAGGGAATTCTTTTCTGTGTACTATGTGCCACACATATTTCTGTTCAAATGTATGATGTGTCAAACATCTTGAAAAAACAAGGATTCTAACATTAAACAAATAATTATAATCTTCCCATCCCAATTACAGTTTAAATTTTTACATATAAGCTTTTATTAAAAGACCATCCACCATGATGTGCAGTGATGCCTACAACTTATTCTGAAATGCATCCCCCCAAAAAAGATAAATCAATGGATGGACAGATAGAAAGACAATAATAATAAAGGAAATATAATAAAATATTAATTGTACAATCTAAGTAGTAGGCACGTGGGTGGTTAATATATCATTCTTTGAACACTTTTGTATGTTAAATATTTTTCATTTAAAAAAACTGGGGAAACTCGTACTCATTTACAAATGTGGTGGTTCAATAATTCACATCATGTAAAGATATACAGACTCTATGAATTCAGTTACCACAAACTAGTGCACACACAGCCACTCACAGATTAGTTCTAACTAGTCAAAATGCAAAACCAGGGGTTAGAAGTATGTTAAAGTTGGATAAAACACACAAAGCCAAAAAGCTTGAGACAAACCCGAGTGTAGTAGGCAGAGGTGGGTTTGCTATGCCTAAGACTGCTATAGCTTCTCTGGTCAAAGTAGAGGCCGCTCTGCAAAAAGTAAAATTAAACACATTTTTCTTAGGTTAAACATTGGTGACAACACACAAAGGCAAACTCAGATACTACCTACCCTCTTTCCTCCAAAACAATGACTTTAAAGCATTGACTCGCATTAAGTAAAAGTCAAAATAATAATTATCTCAAATCTCAAAAAAAAGACTAATATTAAAGGTTAGCTGTACTCAAACCAAGTCATTACTAATTTTTTTACTTTAAAAACATGAGCATAAACCTCCGTCAAAATGGAATGGAAATAATAAGTGATTTATTCTCATGTCATACTTAGTAACATCCTTGGAAAAGCCAAGACAACTGAGTAATTACCACTTTTATAATCCACTTGGCAATGCCACAGAAAAGAGCGAAGTCTTTTTCTTCAAATTTCTCCTAGTCCCATCATTTGACGAAATAAACTGATTGAATTAAGTTACCAAAGACACAGTACAAGTGTGTCCTAAACAGGTTTAGCCTAAAACATCTATGGCAGGTTCATTTTCAATACACCATAAAAACAAGCCATTATAAAGACTATGGTTACCTGGCAAAGAGAATGTCATCTATAAAACTGCCTTTCTAACCACTTTCTTCACTCAGAGTTAAGGAAATGTAAGCAATCCCTGACTGACAGACTCCTCCTGTACTGCTGACACTGTAATGGGGGTGGGAGGGATCCCTACCACTGACCCCTGCCACTCCCAGCCTGGCCTCCCCACACCACCCCCTCAACAAGGCATCAGGACTAACCTCTCCCCAGAGCTCCCAAGGCTTCACCCTCCAGAGCTTCTCACTAATGTCCTCTCCATTATTTTCCCTCCTACCTGCCGAAGTTTATTGATCCTCTCTCACCCCACCAAAGGTCAGAGCCCCCTCCAGAGGAACCAGTTAACAGGAGGCTTGGAACTGATTCTCCCATCAGTACTGTGGCAGCCTGACAGGAAGAGGTGTTCCTAATACCCGAAATGGGCATTCTGGACACATTTTTCCCCCACAGAAATGTTTAGCAAGGTGGCTAGAATAAAGCGCTATTAGTTCTGCAGTTTAATGGCATTCTAGGTTAAAGAGTTTTCTGCAAGACAACATGGAATTCTGCTAACACATACCTCATTCTTTCTACCAGAAAATTCATTCCACATTCCCAAAATTTGACCTACAAGCAAACTCAGAATGAAACCTGTCTGTGAGTTTGGTACTGCCTATACTACCACAACTAAATCAAATTTCTAAAATAAGGATACAGATCTCACTAAACCTGGGTGCCTGGGTGGCTCAGTCCGTTAACTGTCTGCCTTTAGCTTGGGTTACGAGTCCTGCATCAGACTCCCTGCTCAGTGGAGAGTCTGCTTCTCCCTCTGCCCCTCCCCCTGCTAGTGCTCTCTCCCTCTCTCTTTCTCAAAAAATAAATAAATAAATAAATAAATCTTTAAAAAAAGAATCTCACTAAACTTATTCTTGAAGTATATTCCAAAGTACAGTTCATAACTGAAAATACATGATTATGAACTTCTTGTATTAACTTGCTATTAAATCCTGTAAGTGAAAACAAAATTAATTTTAAATAGATTCTGATAAATCATGTTTCAGTATGTTATTAAATTTCAATAACACCTAAGGCATACATGAAAGCAACCATAATTCTTAAGTACCCTAGAAGTAATCAGTGAATTTTATAGCAGCACAAGACAGTGGGACATGAGACAGAACACAACTAACCAGTGGGTCTTTATGAGAACCAGAAGACCTCTTCTTCATTCCATAAGAGTGACTGTAAGAATGATTCTGGAAGTAAACATCTGAAGTTAACTTTCACAATCACAGAGTGAAGTTTAAAAAATAACTTAATAAACTTCATCTTAAAATTATACACAGAAAGATGCATAAGAGATACAGAGTAATCCCCATGGAATCTATTTCCCAGCTGTTAGTAAATGAATCACGGCACTTGGCTGACTACCGAAGATACATAGCACTTCTACACATCCGCAGTCCCCCTGACTCTGCCCCCATGCCACCAAGCTCCATGTACAGACAGCTAAAAAGATGTGATTAGAACTCAGAGCCAGGCAGGGCGTTTGTGAGGATGTTCACCCCACATCTTACTTGAGTCCTTTCTACCTTCTACCTTCCTTATAAAGATATGCAGGACAATAGGTTCCACCTCCTTCTAGGCCTTTCTTAGCAAAAGGCCAAAAGGCAATCCTTTGGGATCAACCAAAACAAGACTAAGAGAAGAATATGGCATTGTTTTGCCCAAGAAAAGCACATGCTGCTCAGGAGGAAAACAGCCCAGATGGTATGGATTACTCCTTGTAGCAACAGCATTATCAGACAGAGGACCTTACACACAGGTCCTCTGAAGACAGCACTGTCTCAGTACATAACTTCACCCAGCACCACAAAGCCAGGTATAGATGAGGGAATAAAGGACAGAAATACAACTATACAGGTCTTTAGGTAGACAAGAAACACAATCTAGCTATGTGCTGCTCACCTGAAATGAGGAGGTGTAGCTAGAAATGTCCTACTTATCAGCAGTGTGCTCTAAGCAAATCAGTTGACAAATGTGCAGCTAGATCCTAAATCCATCCACTCACTGTTCTTTTTTAAATATGCATATCCTTCCTTTTATAAATTACCCTGAACATTTTAAGAGATGACTATATTGTCTAGAAACTCAGGCAATCTACCAACATAATATTAACCCAAGGAAAACATGCCATAACTAAACTTCCTTGGCTAAAATGACATACATAAAAAACCAACTAAATCAAGCAAAAATGAGCAGACATAACTGATGTTTCAGGTAACACCTGTCACTACTGGCTGTTTCCTGTTTAGCAACTTCACACCTGCTTCACACACATAACAAGGAACACAGCAGGGCCTATAGTTCACTGGGTATCAAACACTGCCAGAAACATGTCTTCCAGGCAATGCACATGTGTCATTTAAGGAGCTCATCACTTTAAGAAAAGATATTACTACCAATCTTAATCCTGAATAAGGAAGCAAATCATTTTTATCTGATCCTGAAATTCTAAAGGAAAAAATTATTCAAATGTTCGATTATGCCACAATTGCAAAACAACAGTTTTTGCATTATTGGCCATATGCTTTCCCCAAAACATAATAACGAACCTGTGAAAGCTAGTTATAATCTATGATTAGCATGATTAGGTATTTATAAAGTAAAACTCTACATTTAACACAAAGTCATGCACTACATACTAATGATGAAAGTCTTGACGATCTATCCTTGAGAGCATCATACTGGATTTCAGAAAAAGTTGAGAGTTGATTGTATTCCCAAAATCAGAAATATAAAGAGAAAAAAAGTTACTAAAACTCCAAACTAACCAGAATTTAAGTAAAAACAATTTTTTAAAAATCCAGCACTACTTTAAAGGTCAAAAATTATTATATACAAAGGCTGTTACATTTGATTAAAAGAATCTTCTTCCCCACAACCACACTTTCCTAGTATAAGTGATTGCTAAACTCTATGTACATGTAAAGCTGCATGTTCTCTTTCAAACACAGAATTCCTAGTCAATAATGGCGAGATGATTCAATCTCAGTATGCTGTAGCACAAAAAACCCACAGGGAGCCTTTACATGCAGGAATAAAGCATTCTGAAATCAAAAAAGACGTTTTACTTTTTATTATTGTGACTGTTACCATCATCTCCCATTGTTTGAAACATGGCAAAAGCAAGGCATAGATAATGAAACGAGAGCACATAACTAATATAATCAGGCTTATAAAAAAATAATTGCAGCGCCAAAATGTAGAAGTTCCCTTGAATCTGCCTGTGGATACACAGCTGAAAAACTCCCCTTCTCAAAAACTTTCCCTATTAAAAACACTGAACAAAACTGGTAACTTAGTCTAGGCAAAGTGTGGAATATGCACTGTACACATTCAAGTGTGGCATTAAATATCAATCAAAGAAAAACACATAAAATTATGATAAGATCAGAAAAACCTATTTCATATAGGGTCTTTAAGAAAATAAGCATAATACCACATTTTAAATCAAAGAAACTGAATTAAATTAGTAACTACTTAGATTTGTGATTTCTTAATTTTGTTTCTGAAGCATTCTAGCTTACACCTTTTAAGCAATCTTACCCAGAAGTGGCAAACAATAGTATTATTACATGTGTAACAAAAATCTTATTTATCTAAAATTTTCTAAAATGCCTAAAGTTATGCATTTAGTAAATTACGTGCAATGGTAAAATGTCACTGTATAGTGAGTGACATTTCCCTGAAAGTAAAGTTCCTTCTGTATAGAAATTTCACTTAGGTCTCTTCTCCATTAACAAATTACATTTTTTGTTTAAAAAAAAATATATATATATAAGTATATATATTTATATATATATAGGTATATATATATATCATCACTAAAATATGTACTACTCAAGCCACACACATTCCTGCAACTAAACTATTCTGCCCTCCCAACCAGGCAAGTTCACTGAAGAAAACAGCCATGTCTTATGTTTTCTGATCCTCTCTGTAGCTCCAACGGCATTTTTCAAAGGCACAGAATTTAACAAGGGAATTGAAATTGACCTATTTCAATTTCCTCTTTCGAAAACATAACGCAGAGTTCAGCTGGTTTTTAAAAAACGGCTGAATCTGATAAGAAATCCATAACTTGGACATCCCAACTGCTACTAGAACAACTGGGTAAATATAAAGAATCCCTCCAGTACATACCAATTGGTATCTATGTTGTTTAAAAACAAATAATTCATCAAAGAAGGGAGAACTGAAAATATTAAGGGCTCTTGCTAAAACATTTCCAAATTTTCTATGACAGTCTATCAAAAAGAATTTAACTCTCACAGAAAGTTACCTGAAAGTCTTCATTTGAAATAAAATTAAAAGAAATGGAGCAACTTTTTGTTTGTAGAAACAAAGTTCAGCAAAGGTCAATTTCCATTAGAATATACCTATTATTCAAGCCCGCAGAACTCTGAGAGTCAAAGTGCATAATATTAACACTGCACATTTTTCTGAACTACACACCATGATGTCTTTCCTTTTGGGTGTACTGGCTCTGCTCCAGTGTGTCCCAGTTATGGCCTTCGACGGGCTCTTCCATGGAATTAAACAGTGTAGTAGTAAATGACAAAACACAAATTACAAGCATATTAAAATTAAATTTGTTTAAATTATACTAAGCGTATTAATAATTTAAGGGGAGCTAATATATACAATAGTAAAAATCTGCACCAGTTAGAAACTGTAATGTATTCCTACTGCTCTGGTTCAAGATGGCCTCAATTTCCTAATTTTGGACCTCTACCTTACGGTCCTCTCATATTTCAATATAAAAAGCAGTGACAAAGCATTTGTAAGATGCTTTTTACAGGCAGACTGTTTTTTGAAGAAACAAACTGTTTAAATTCTAAGCTCAGAGCTTTGATTTCATCCTCCTGCCCCCAAACCTTTCATTCACAGTCTTGAACTATCTTTGCTCTTTTTATTTTTTATAGAATGTTTATAGCATGGACACCATTTCCAGCCCAAATACCTTCTGGCAGGCCATCTCTCAAGAAAGTATTAACTGAAGTTAATTGGATAAAAAAAAGACTGAAGCCCTAAGAATATGGCAGAAAACCTTAAATACATCTGCCTCAAATCCAGGTACTACTATGACCATACATCCAATACAGGGTCCAGAAGTGTTAGACTTTTTAAATATATAGTTCATACATTTTAAAAAATAACTGGCAAAGAAATACCAAAACTCCCAAATTATAGAGCAAATCCCAATAGAGTTTAGGTCAGGGTTTTAGGCCATCACATTTATTTTTAAAAGAGAACAAAAGCTGTCTACATAATACAGCTTAATGTATGTGGTAGTTATTTTTTTATTTTTTGTTCTTTTAAACTCTTATTTAAAGATTTTATTTGTCAGTGAGAGAGAGACAGAGAGAGCACAAGCAGGGGGAGCAGGAGGCTGAGGAGAAACAGGCTCTCCACTAAGCAGGGAGCCTGATGCGGGACTCAATCCCAGGACTCAAGAATCATGACCTGAGTTGAAGGCAGACACTTAACCAATTGAGCCATCCAGGCATCTGTGGTAATTATTTATTTAAAAAGTAAATAATCTGGGGGCTCCTAGCTGGCTCTGTCAGTAGAGCATGCAACTCTTGCAAGCCCAAAAACCACACTGGGTGCAGAGATTACTTAAAATTTTAAAAAGAAAAATGACATAATCTGATGAAAATTGGGACTCCCAATATTATCTACTTAAAACAAACAAAAAATCTTACCTCAATTATATTTTATTTTTAAAGATTTTATTTACTTATTTGAGAAAGAGAGGGGAAACAAGGAGCGGGAGGGGGATGGTGGAGAGGCAGAAGAAGAAGACTCTCCGCTGAGCAGGGAGCCCAAGGCCGATCTCTATCACAGGACCCGGGGATCATAACCTGAGCCAAAGGCAGACCCTTAACCAACTGAGCCACCCAGGTGCCCCCCTCAATTATATCTTTTAAACAATGTTATTAGTGAGCTTTCAGACTTATTTCCAGGAAATCTAACTATTTAAAATGTGCTGGATATACACTCACACGCAGTAACGTACTGAAGTCTCCTCTAGAGTGTAAAATTTTTATTAATATTCATGTTCACGAACAGATTTTTTAAAATACTGGGAGCTTTACTCTTTACCATAGCAGCAAATTTTCACTCTTACCACGGTGAAATAAAATGCTGTGAGAGTTCTACTTTTATCTGAAATGTATTTAATGATAAAATTTCCATAAAAAGAAAATCATCATCATTACTTTATAGACCCCCCATGGTAACCAATTCTTCATTAGCTTAATTGCAGGTTTAATTTCTCTTGTGCTTGTTTACAGATTTGTTTTAAAGCCTCCTAAATTAGGGGCGCCTGGGTGGCTAAGTCGGTTAAGCATCTGCCTTTGTTTCAGGTCATGATCCTGGCCAGAATCCCAGGATTGAGCTCTGCGTTGGGCTGCCTGCTCAGTGGGGAGTCTGCTTCTCCCTCTTCCTCTGCTCCCCTCCCCACCAATGCTTGTACACCTCTCTCTCTCTCTCTCTCTCTCTCTCTCTCTCTCGTGCATGCACGCTCTCTCTCATGCGTGCACACCCTCTCTCAAATATTTTTTTAAATGATTAAAAAAATAGATTCTTAAATTAGGTCAAATTTAGATGGTTTTACTGTTCAGTTAAACTAATATAACCAATATATAATCAAGTTTCCCTGACACCACATAGAAAATTATAAATAACCAGCTTGATGATAACTGTGTGAAACCTCACACTATGAACATTATAATGGAAAGCAAAGGAAAAAGCCATAATTTTTTTTTAAATGAGGAGAGATTGTTCTCAAACTCTCAACACTCAACTTTTAAGCTTTTATTGACTAACTCCCTGTAAGATTCTTTTCGAAGTGTTTAAAGAGAAAAAAAATCTCCAGGTAGAAGAAGGATGAATTTATTATCTCAAAAATGTTTCTCCTGTAAAATCATTCAAGTTGCTGATTAGATTACTGAGACTTGTTAATATTCTTATAAATCTAAACTTTTGCAATTAACTAAAATATTTATGATTCAAAAGCAAGTGTACTAACTTATTGTAAAAAGAGAAAGTAGATTACATTCACCAATAAGAAATATGACTAGAGCAAAGGACTATTTAAGACTATAAACACATCTGTAACTGATATACCAGATCACACTTGGTTATTATAGAGTACTTTTATATATTACACAAGCTAGGAAGAAAACTAGACTTAGGGAAAGTTAACCAATAGAGACCTCAACATGAAAGATCGTTTTACTGATGAAAAATCTATATATATGCATATCAATATTGTCAATGCACAAATTAAAAGCATTGCTTTAAGGTTTCAAACACAATTCTTTAAAAGAAGATCAGTGTCTTGGCACAATATACAAGACTTCAATGAACGAACTCTCATTTACCTTGATTTATAGCAATGAATGCTAAAAAGGTGAGACATACTACAAAATGTTAATCAAAATGTCGAAATATGGTGATTACTGTAAATATGATAAGCAGGGAATTTTTCAAATCAGTAGCTCAAATTTTCCATGTAATAAAACTATAATTAGTCAACCAAGCACCAAAGCTATTACCCATTTAATAAAGTTATTTTTAAAAATATGGAAGTGGGAAAATCTGAAAGTCAAACTACACAATGTCATTCCATAGGAATCAATCTTATTATTTTGAGACAATTTTTCAAAATCAAAGTTCCTTTTCCACAAAAAATAGTAATACATATGTTAATAGTTTAAAATATTCATGATTTTAGAATTGATTTATATTGATTATAGCAATGATTTAAGAGAAAGATCACTTTCCAATGAAAGGACTTTGCCAATATTTCCTCTTTTTTTTTAAAGGTAAAGGAATATGAACACTGTCAGATTGTTCAGGCAATAATGCTGCAGAAAGCTCAAACATACAAGCTTTGCTATCATGGTGCAGACAACTTAAAATACCAACCCTGTGACTGCCAAGACTTCGAATGGACAATGCATCCTCAACTCCCTGATAAGAACAAAAACAAACATGGCATAAGTTTGCAGGTAACGGCATTAAGTTAATGAGGGGCAAGTATAGGGGCAAGTTCATTGGTTATTACAAACCAGATAAGGTCGATGATGACTAGACCGGTGGGAATACCTGGCCCTTTCTGAATCTTCCTGGGAAAGGAGAAAATACATGGAGAGTTAATCACTGAACACAGGGCTATCAGAACAACTGTGCAAAGAGCAATCAGTTAGGAGCACAGCAGCATCTTCCTTATAGCAAGCAGGTATGGACAACTCAGCTTCTAAAGCTGGGTCTGGGACAGCCACATGCTTCAGGTGGAAAGAAAGTAGCAATAATTATAATCTTGTGTATGTGTGCCTGACCACTTCTAAATTGTAATCTATAAACGACCAGGAAAGCTCAATACACCAAGATAAAAATAAGCAAGTATACTTAACAAACAGAAACTGAGTTCAGCATTAAAAGTAAAGCTTTATCTATTTTTTTTTCACTGTGAATGTGCATTTATGCAAGGCAAGAAGAAATGTTTATTACAAAGATAGTTTCAGGACTTAAAAAAATTGGGGTCATAATTTTGTGCTCACTACAAAAGAATTTTTTTGTTTTCTTGGACCCCTCTACCTGGAAAATAAAAGAATAACTAAATAAAATACCGGCCCTGTGTTGTTAATATGAAAAACTACTTATAAATAGAAGAAACTATGTAAATCATTTAGAGTTGGTAAAGTTATTTCAAGAGCTATGCCTCATGAAAACGGTAAAAAAAAGGGGGGGGGGGACAAAAACAAAAACCAAATGATGACCACAACCTAACAGTTGACCAAATTAAATGCAACTGTAAACTTTTCCACAGTCAGCTATTAGCAATGGAGCATTAAGTTCTGTCTGTGGGATCCAATGACTAGTTCCTAGAGTCTAATCAACTGCAACAGTAAGGAACTTCTGATCTTTCAGAATTTCAAAGTCCAAAGTGTTAAAGTAATTTGCACTAAGAATCTACACCCGACTGTCCAGCTGGGTTCCTAGCTAATCAACGCTGCCTTTTCCAAAATGAATCAATACCTAAACACCACGTGACACTACAGCATGATCACTACACAGGTGGAAGAAACAGATGTGGTCATGTCCAATCATCCATTTCAAATTACAGAAAGAGTAATTCCACAGAAACACTACAACCTAATGCCTTATTTTGGTCATGATCTTTCGGCATCCGTCAAAAACACTCCTGGTTGTCATCTGCTGTGTGCACTGATGCACGTGATCAAATCTGTTCAGAAGTCTGTTTATAAGCACCAATATGATTCAGTGATACAATATCCAACAGAGTATTCTGAACTTTAGGAGCTCATCAGTGATTTACAATTTTGTTATATAACAAACACAGGTAATCTACAAGAAGGCAAGCAAATTTCTTCCTTTTCCCCATCAGGTTATATATCGCAAAAGTTTTGGGAGCATGTGCATAAAACCAGCTGAGTACGTACAGTTTATTGAGTTGTAACCAGTTCTAGGCTGATTAGCTTTGTAGAGCCCTGCGCTATTCACACAGCCTAATTCTACACACCTCTTCACAGTCTTATTTGGGGTACTAGGGCAACATACATTGTTTAATGTTCAATCTTTCCTTTACCCTTTTTTTTTTCATTCCACCTACCACGCAAGGGCACTTTTTAAAATTCTACCTCTAAAAACCAAAGTCCATTAAAGATGCAGCAAAAACAGATGAATTCATATTTATTTTTAATTATGTTACTTATAAAAATAATTCTTAATAAAAATACCTTAAATAACTTATTTTTTCACCCCATTTGGAAAAACTGGCCATAAAAGACCTTAGAAGACTCCATAGAGGCCACTTAATGTGAACTGCAAGAATACAGTTTATTCCAGTTATAAACTACACCTTAAACCAGCACTGTCCACCAGAACTTTCTGTGACAAAGTGAAAATGTTCTGTTTGTGCTAATACGGCCCCACGTGGCTATTGACCTCCTGAAATGCTAGAAGTGCAACTGAGGACTTAAATTTTGAATTTTAATCTATTTAAATCTAAACATAATTACCCACATATGGCTGATGGCTACTATACAAACAGTAAGGCGAGCTCAAAGCAAATTTTCATTATACCAAAAAACCGCAAAGCACATATTTAACTAAGAGGCTGCCATGTTGCACCACTCTTATATAAAAAGGCAGGCATTTAGGTACTTGTGAATTACTGCCCCTACCTTGACTACTTATGCACAGTGACAAACATGAGAGAAAGAGAAAGAAAAAGACCCTAGAACTATTTTTAAGAGCTAGAAAGGTCCCTAGAGATTATACAGTCTGATCCCTTCATTTTAAAGTAAAGAAAATTGCAACACAAAAAGATTAAGTAGGAATCCTCAAAGACATAAAGCTGGGACCAGCATTCAAATCCTCTGACTCCCTAGGCCACCAAACCATAAAGAGACTATCCTACCCCAGCTAAATCTACACTGTGACATAACAAGAACATGAAGACAATAGCCAGCTAGTCTAGATTTTACTCAAAGATTTCTCCTTCTCTGAAAGAACAAGCAATTTCATTTCCCAGGTATTCTAGAATAGTATTTTAAATTGCCAATTGGCTTTTCCTCAATTAACAGCACCAGGGGCCAAGAGAAAGAAAAAAATTCGGTAACCGTGTTTCCAGGTACCAACTACAAGGCTGACTATCCTTCTTTTCCACAGTCTGGGAAACAATCTATTTTCATTGTCCTGAAAGTCAGCAGTAGTATAAAGGATCCAAAGCAGAAAAAAACAAAAACAAAAAACAAAAAACAAAAAAAAAACAGGACAATGCCTTAAAAAATGGATGTGTAGGGGCGCCTGGGTGGCTCAGTCGGTTAAGCATCTGCCTTTGGCTCAGGTCATGATCCCAGGGTTCTGGGATCAAGCCCCACATCAGGCTCTAACTCAGTGGGGGGCCTGCTTCTCCTTCTCCCACTGCTTGTGTTCTCTTTGTCAAATAAATAAATAAAATCATTTTTTTAAAAAATGGATGTATATTTGTTCAAGGTTTTCTGGAAAATTGTTTTGATACTTTTAAATTCATGGCAATGAAATGTAATCTGCTTTTAAAAATTCACTTCATGTGGAGATGAAGCGATTTTATTGAAAGAAGACCACAGCCCCCTGAAGGCACCTGGCCCTGTTCTCTGTCAACAAGTAAGATTTAAGTCAAGCCTGTAGCCATTCCCTCAGTTTCAAATTCGGAAACCTCAGAAATCGCACATTCTCCTCCAGGTCACCAACACGCTGCTGATGGAGACGCTCAGTTTAAAAACAGAAACACCAGCCTCACTGGGACTATCTGGAGGCCTACAAAGACTTGGGCCCTTTCGTCTTGGTCCTCTCACCTTCCAACTCACTAGCAGGTATGGCGTGCTCTCTGACCTTTGAATTCTGGCTCTGCCAATGACTGAGCAAGTTGTTGACTCCACCCATCCTTTATCACCTTATCTGTAAAACGGAGATGGTGGTCCCTATCTTATAAAATGGAAACATATGTAAACAGCCCAGGCACGGTGCTGGCATACAGACCCTCATTGTTACTTCATTCCTGAGTCTCATGCCATGGCTTTTCCTCTTCACACCCCCCAACATCCCACCCCTACACCCAGAAAGTGTGAAAATTAGGAGAAATTTTTAACACAGGTATATTTTTCCTTCTAATAACTGACAATCCCATTATTTGTATATGAGTTATTTTATTATAAATTTACTGTTCTTTATATCTTATATTGTGATTATAACATGCCAACTTCTACTATAGGCTCATAGAATGCAGCCAGAGAGACAGATGAGCTGAGAAGTGAAAGGAAAAATTAGTTTGAAAAGAGTAAAAACCAAGTGTCAGAAGGGGTTAAGTGATAATTATTGCCATCTGAAACTAAACCCCGTCCATATTCTCTGTGAGTCTGAGTTATCACTCAGGACTTGAGTTAGTACCATCTGCATTCTAAGCCTCCAAACAGAAAATGTTCCCCCTTCATGAAAATCTAGTGCATTCACTTCCTGAACTGCATACATTTCACAGAGATAAAAACTATGTTTTTATCTTCATGGCCTTGGAATAGAAGAATTAAACATGAGATTTTCAATATAGGCTTTTCTTCTTAGTGTTTTGGTGTGTCCTAAGATAATAAAATCTCAGGCAATTTAAATTAGAACTATGATACATAATTTTTAAAAATTAAACTAATATTTCCATGGAAACTTTACAAGCAAAAGTGATTTCTTTTATTCATAAAAAATGTTCTTAATGAATCAACAGTAAGATAACCAGTTTCATGCAGAAGACACTTGAAATAAAACCAATTAGGCTAGCTTTAGTAACAAGAAAGGACAGATTCTACTCTAAAGTAACAAACACATTCATGAGGAATCACTTAATTGTAAGTAACCAAACATTGTCTTTCTCTCCTTTCTAAAATATCACAATGAGAAGTATGATAAAGTTTTAAATCTGTAGGTCAATACAGTCATAAATATTTTTTTATAGTCATAAATATTTTAATTCTGGTTGTCCTTCAAAATGCTGCTGTAGAAAGAATTTGGTTATAAAAATTTAACAACCATTAGTGGTTCCTAGCCCTTTAAGGGATCACAGACTACCTTGAGAATCTGGTGTTCACTTAAAAATATACATATATTCAAAAGTCTGCATGAGATTTTAAGGCTTCCTGCTCCATCTCCCAAGCCTGTTCACATGGATGAAGAACCTCTGTAATAGGAGACAACTAGGGAAATTAGCAACATAGAAAAAAGTTCAAATTTAGGAAGGATTCCCAATAACTAGTATTTTACTGGTTCACAATTTGCTCTTGTAGCTAAAAATCTGGTAGTAGTGGTAGAAGATTCGAAAAGGAACTGAGAGAAGTGAAAAAACATAAGAGTAATTTTCATACAAAATTAAAGAACGACTTGGTTCGTCTTCCAATGAGGACATTTCTACCTAATTTTTTTTTTTTTTTAAAGAGAGAAAGGAAGAGGGGAGAGGGAAGAGGGGAGGAGGGAGTGAAGGAGAGAGGGAAAGGAGAGGAGGACAAATTTGAGGGAGACAAGAACAAACTCAGAGACAGAAAACACATCTATTTACTCAATCTTTCTTGGTCAAGAGCATTCATGACAGAAGCGTGAGGCTGTAGACTACAGCAGAAAATGGGTGGACTCCAAGTACACATTTGGTCCACTACAGACAGAAGAGACACTCTCTGACCTTTAGGTTCAAACATGCCAAACACTCCTACTTGGCAAACTATTAGTCAATGTTTTACTTCAAGATTGCATTATTGCAGCAACTGATCACAACATGCAGGGCAGGCAATCCTGGCCTACCAGCCACTTCTGAATCTGTCCCCATTTCCGATCAAAGGAATAATGAGAGTGCTACAAATGCAAAAGTTTCATCAGCTCAAGTTTCCAACATACTGCATGTCTGAAAAGTCTTAGATTAATCCTATAAATTTGCCCTGAAGACCAGTGATCCTTAGTTTAATGTAAGTTGTACATTCAAGAGACAGAAAATTACTAAGCTAAATATGTTCCACAATGAAGAAATATATGGCTCTCTGCAGTTTAGAGGAAATGGAACTTTTACTTAGCAACAATCTCCTTATAATTTTAGGAGTGTAAGAACTGCATTCAGTATTTGAAACCATATATGATGTCAAAAACAAAAATAGCAACATAGGTATAAACTGTTTTTTTGGTTTAGTTTTTGAGCTGTGAATAAAATCTATATACACTTCTCTTTAACCCATTAGCAGAAGTCCACCACCAACATGAAAATAGTGTTTAATACTATTAAGAATATCCTGCAGGCTCTCCCCCCTTCATGCCAATATGGCATCAGAAATATTTTTTTTATGTGAATTTTCAGAGTCAGGTTGATGTCAGAAGGAAAGAATTAAAAAAGATTATTTGTTTCATTTTAAAGCAGCCCAATTTCTATACACCTGTTTTATTTTTTACTATTCTTTCTGATGATAAAAGTGTACTGAAATTTATGAACTACAGAAAAGCATTAAGAAAGAAACAAAACTAATTAATTCCACCACTGACAAACCAAAACATTGACAGTAATCATTTCTTTCTAAGTAGTTTTGACCCTATATATGATACTAGTTTTTGTAACATACAATGGGAGTCCTACCAGTCTTAAAACTGTTGAGGGTTTTTTTTTAATTTTCTTGCATGAATGTCTTCTTCCATTATTAAATATACTTAAAAACTATAAGGCTTGGGCACCTGGGTGGCTCAGTGGGTTAAAGCCTCTGCCTTCAGCTCAGGTCATGATCCCAGGGTCCTGGGATCGAGTCCCGCATCGGGCTCTCTGCTCAGCAGGGAGCCTGCTTCCCTCTCTCTCTCTCTGCCTGCCTCTCTGTCTACTTGTGATCTCTCTCTGTCAAATCAATAAATAAAATCTTAAAAAAAAAAAAAACAAACTATAAGACTAAATGGCTTCACAGTGTTTTACTATGTAGATATCATAATATAATTAACCTAAACTCTAAGACAGGACTATAGTAAATAAATTCATCATCTCTAAGCTGACTTTAGCTAATACAAGTAAAGCACTTATCACACCATAACAACTTGCTACCATGTATAGTAAGAGCTGTTTATGTGTTTGCACTATTGCACTTAATTTGCTGACATAGAATGGCTTATTAAAAAATACACATTAGGTTATATTATTCCCAGTTTTTCAAGAGGAACCAGATTTATTCAGAAGGAAACTAGCCAACTATTTATTTGAGACTAACACAAAATTAGGATCATACCCCCACCCCCACACCCCCTGATTACCTCTTTTTGTTGTCGCTCCAGTTCTCTCATGCGTATATCTCTCGCTTCTGCCCGGGCAGCCCGTTTTGCTGCCAGTCTCGCCTCTGCCTGAAATGTAATGTACAGATTCAGCTTTATTTACGAACAACAACAACCTGCACACCAGCTGCGAGGGTAAGGAGCAGATGGGACATAACTGTCCATAGCAGGTGGGAGGACAAGATACCCTCTTGCTCAGCTGTGCAACTGCCTCAGTCAGCTCTTGTATACTCCTTTCTTTGTTCTAGCCCAGAGTCTCTCCTGAAATCTGGGCCTTTATTTTTAACTGCTTGCCTTGATTCCACATGCAAAACATTTCACACAATTGATTATGTCTCTGCAAACTAGCTTCTTCCAAAATTTCTCTATCAATTCAATCATACAAATTAGAAACTTCAGAACCAGCCTCTATTTCATTTTGGACATTGCCAATATCCAGTCTCAGAGTACTGCCAATTCTCTACTGCTGGGTTTCTCTCACCCCCATGGCCATTATGCTGTTTCTGTTCCAGGAACTCTTCATATCTTTCTCCTTCTAAACTGGTATGCAAATCACATACTACCAAATTCACCACTTACAACTAGACAGTTTGGTGGTTTTCAGCACTACGGTCACAAGGTTACACAACTACCACTACCACCTAATTCCAGGATATGTTCTTCACCCCAAAAAGAAAGCCCATGCCCATTAATAGGCACTTCTCATTCCCCTTCCTCCCACCTCCTGGAAACCACTAATCCTACTTTCTGTCTCTACAAATTTGCCCATTCTGGAAATTTCATATCAGTGAAATTATACAATAGGTGCTCTTCATCTCTTGCTTGACTGAACACTACTTAAACTGCCTTCAAATCCATCTACCTGCCTCCAGAAGCTGCCCTATAATTCCCTTCTACATGTTACAGGATTGCCATTCTGCCTTTCAAAACACGTTTCTGATTTTTACCATTAAGTAGTGTAAAACCCTCCATTGGCTCCCATTCCTTGCAGTTAAAGCAAAATTCCACAGACTAGCACAAAGAGAAGAGAGAAGAAAAGCTCAAAGAGAAATAAGGTTCCTCCCAGTCAGATCTCCCCCTGATTTCCCAGGACTCGGTCCCCATAAACAGCGGCAGACCACCTACCTCCATCCGGGACTTCACTGTGCTCCGTTCAGCCTCTCTTCAACTCAGGTAATGATCTCAGGGTCATGAGATGGAGCCCAGCATCGGGGTCCACACTCAGCAGGCTGCTTAAGATTCTCTCTTTCCCTCTCGCTCTGCCTCTCCCTGTGCCCACTAGAGTGCTTACTCTCTCTCTCAAAAAAATATTAAAAATACAAAACAAAATTACACTCTTCTGTCACCTCCACAACGTCCAAGTCTCAATCGATGTCTGCTAAATAAACAAACGAATTTCAGGCCATGGACTAAAGCATCGAGGAAATGAAACAAGGAAAACAGCCTGATGTACCACATGAAATTTAAAAATCTCAGTGATTTCTGACAGTGGTTTCCTCTGTTCTCGGCCACATCCTAACTCTGATTCAGATCTCCCCCAATAACTACAATAGCTGCTTCTCCCATGTTGTTCTATTTATGCCCAAGTCTCAGGTTAAGAGACTCAGCCAGTGTTTGAAAGGGTCTACCGCACAGAAGCAATTATGTTCAGTGCTGAAAATACAGGGTAAGATGACATCTCTGCCCCAGAGAAGTCCTCAATCTAGTTGAGAAATACGGACCCACAACACTAAGGGAAGGAGCATGCAGGAGAGAGCAATTTGACTTCCCTGGCAAGGTCCCAGCAGGTTTCTAAGAAGAGGAGACAGCTTAAGGGTTAACACTTATTCAACCCCCCAATTTTGGCACTTTCCCAGTCTGCCTCGCTGGCCTTTTCATAACAAAAGCCCTAAACACTATCTGCCAACCTCAAACTCTAAACAATAACATGACCAGAGCAATGAATCTTCTCACATGAATTTTTCACTGGCTTTTATCTTTTAAAAAGCTGTTCCTACCTTCTTTACCCCTCTGACTACAGGTAGACAATGCTTTCTTACTAGAGTTCTCATTTTATAGAAAAATACTTCAAGGCTAAGTTCAGCAGATAGCAAACACATTTTTAAAATACAAAGTATCATTTTTCTGGAGAAAATTTTTGAACTTTTTTTTTTAATTTCAGCAAAGCCATAGCAATGTGTAGGGCTGTCATTTCCATGTTACTAGCTTTGTACTTGTAGCCTTCTTTAGAAATGTACCGAGAATGCCCATTTCATCCTTCCAAGATAGATGACCAATTCTGTACATTCTATGCTAAAACAGCTCACCAGTTTTCTCTCACCTAACCTAAATGATGATAATTGAAATCTACTCTCTGATAAGATTTTTTTCACAACAAAAGGAAAGGGAACCTGGCTGCTGTGTAACAGAAAGAACATGGGCTTTGGAGCCACAAAAATGCCCTTCCCTTTGTTCCTTAGCCAACTTTATCCAAACTCAGATATGCCTTCCTTGGAGATGGTACTGAAGAAGGCCACTAAACAAGCTTTAAAAAGGTAAACAGGATTTAAAAGTACTTAATCTTAGTATTTTTTCCACATATTGTCAGATATCTGAAGCAGTACTGAGAGTAGGAGAGCGAAAAGCAAAAAGTGATTCCAATCCAGCAGACAAAACATGTACTCTATACTTGTACCAATGCATTTTTTTAAAGATTTTCATTTCTTTGACAGAGAGAGACACAGCGAGAGAGGGAACACAAGCAGGGAGAGTGAGAGAGGAAGAAGCAGGCTTCCCTACCCAGGAGGGAGCCCAATGTGGGGCTCGATTCCAGAGCCCTGGGATCATGACCTGAGCCAAAGGCAGACATTTAACGCCTGAACCACCCAGGCACCCCTATCAATGCATTTTAAAATAAATAATAGATACAAAAAGTATACTTCTAGGTAGTAATACTAGCATTTTCCCCAAACACAACTGCGTGATTTCTACATATTCATTTTACACACACTCACAGATAAAAAATAAATGGTACATAAGAATAAAGGATCACAAAAAATTAAGTTTAAAACAGAGTTGGCAAAAAAAAAAAGTTAAACATAGAATCACCATTTTATCTGATAAGTCCATTGCTGGGTACATACACAAAAGAACTGAAAATAGAGACTCAAACAGGTATGTGTATGCCAATGTTCAAAGCAGCCTTATCCATAATGGCCAAAAAGTATAAACAACCCAATGTCCATCAATGGATGAATAGATAAACTGTGGAATATAATTCCAGGAGGGAAGGAAATTCTGACACATGTTAAAACATGGATGAATCTTGAAGACATTAAGTTATGCGAAACAAGTCAAATGTGAAAGTACAAATATTATATGATTCTACGTATTTGAGGCACCTAGAATAATCAAATGGCATGGGCACAGGAGGTTAAACAGTGCTTCCAAGGGGCTGGAGGGAAGGAGAAATGGGGAATTTTCATCTAATGGGTACACAGTTTCAGATAGGATGATGATAAAGTTCTGAAGATGGAGAACAGTGCCGGCGGCACAACAATGTAAATATACTCAATGCCACTGAATTGTATGCTTAAAGATGATTTAAATGGTAAATTATGTTTTTAAGATTTTATTTGTTTATTTGACAGACAGAGATCACAAGCAGGCAGAGAAGAAGGCGGTGGGGGGGTGAAGCAGGCTCCCTGCCGAGGAGAGAGCCTGATGTGGGGCTCAATCCCAAGACCCTGAGACCATGACCTGAGCCGATGGCAGAGGCTTAACCCACTGAGCCACCCAGGCGCCCCTAAAATGGTAAATTATGCTATGTATTTTCCCATACAAAAAAAGTTAAAGCTCGTATAAGGCATGAAATCAGAATTATTCAGGAGCCTAATTCATTTAGGTACTTGTAGAGTCTTTAAGCTGATATAACTCAAACTTTTGAAATAAAGTTAATAGGAAAATTTAGGAACTGGAAATTCAGTTTCAGAAGTTACCTGTGAAATCAAGTAGGTCAATGGACTCGTTTCTAAAAATTTTTCCTCATCATTATGCTTTCAAATATTAGGCATATTAAGACTGATTAAAGGAAATATGCAATCATATAAGTATAGAAATGTATTCTTCTTAGAACAGTGAAAATGATAACACAAAAAGTAAAGATATATTTGAATAGAATTAAATCCATTTCCATTAAATCCTTGGGGCAAATGGAAAAATAAAATAATAACAAAAATCATGGGACTTGATCACCCCTGGAACAAACTGCTTTAGGTTGTATTAATTCAGAAAACTAAATTTGTAGGCTGTTTGCTTTATAACTAATAATTAGCAATCGTACAATGATCAATAAAAAACAACTTCTAAGGGCACCTGGTTGGCCAGTCGGTTGGGCATTGGATTCTTAGTTTCAGCTCAGGTCATGATCTCAGGGTCCTGGGATTAAGGCCCCACATCGGGCTCCCCACTCAGAGTGTAGTCTGCTTGAAGATTCTGTCCCTCTATCCCTCCCTCCACTTGCATGTTCACCTGTGCACACATACTCTCTCTCTCCCTCTCACTCTCAAATAAATAAATATTAAAATAAAAAATAGAAAAGAAAAGAAAAAGAACTTCGAAGGGAGGGCTGGGTGGCTCAGTTGGTTATGCATACAACTCTAGATTTTTGGCTAAGGTCACCATCTCAGGGTCATGAGATTGAGCCCCGCAACCAGCTTCACACTGAGCTTGGAGCCTGCTTTAGATTTCCTCTTCCTCTCCCTTTGCACCTCCCTCCTTATGCTTGCACACTCTCTCAAATAAAAAAAAAATGTTAAATTCTCTAGGAAGAACTTCTAGGAAAGCTGAGAACTAACCACATACTATGGTTTGAGTACTTGTACATTAAGGGCTTTTCCTTTATATCAGTATTTTGTGTTATGCTCTTCTGGAATTTAAGAAAACAAAGTGGATTTGTAAGCTAAGATGGCACTATATGGACCCTATGCTTGCCTATCCCTAGAACACAACTGGGTAACTACCAAATCATTCTGAATACCCATAAAATGGACCTGAGAACTGACAGAACAAAATGCACAACTAGAGGGAGA